GTACGCTTCTATAGGGCTATTTCTGCGCATGCCCGTCTTCGTATTAGTACTATGGACCCTGAGGACCAATTAGATTATCAATTGAGCGATGAGGGGGGGCAATAGCTGTAGAAATTGAAAAAATCTATCGTTGCGCTGCGTTCTATCGTTGCGCTGCGGTGCACTAAGCTGCAAAGCTTAGTGCAACTGAAAGTGCACGGTTACTTTGCTCCGCCTGACACCAAGTTATGCAGAATTACGCCAAGAGTCTTGCTGTCTTGGCGCACACACCTTACTACTAGTAGTAAGTAGGGCAGTGGTACTCGAAATGGCAGAATAATAACACTTCATTACTCGCTCTTGATCAAAGGACAATCCTTTGTTTGGCGTTTTTGAAAACTCAGACATGGCGCACCCTCAATCTATTAGTCTTGACCAAGTTTCCTCCTCAGACCAAACGCATTTTAGGGATGTTGCAAAAAGAATTGATTGCGTGATCGACAATGTCTGGTATGATTGGGCTATCACCATCCCGTCGTCTACTCCGTGGCATTAGTTTGGGGTACTTTCAAGGGATTGGGTCGGGTCCATCTCCAAAAAATGCCCCATGAAACCATTGGCGAATCTCGGCCACGGGCTCATGTGAGGTTTTTGTCACCCTTTCTTCGCGTCTGAAAATCCCATGGTTTTTGTGTTAACATATCGTAAAAGCGAGTTCAATCCTCCTCGATTTCTACTTGACACACACGAAAAGGCTTTGGACCGGATCGAATGTAATCAATGTGGTCCAAGTACGGTTCATCCTTCTCTCCCAAATCCAAGCACCCGTCGGGTTCGTTAGCTGACATTCCACTGTTTTACCCCGTCAGGGTCTTCCGGACTTCCGACAAGCCATCTCGAATGTTACTCTCCCTTCTAGGGCAAGGAAATTGACCCTGATCGCGAAGTATTGGTGCATACGGGAGGGACAGAAGCCATCCTTAGCGCCATTACGGCCTTCATCGAGCCCGAGGATGAGGTGATTGTCTTGGAGCCAGCTTTCAATTTGTAACCCTCTGGATGGTTGTTCACTGTGCAAGCGCCAAACCGACTGAAGAGTGTAGGTACGAATTGCATCTCAGCTTCATTGGGTCTGTCCTTCGATATTTGCCATTGCATCCGCCGTCCGATGCCGATACATGTGTCTCACCGCAGACCAATGGACTTTGAATATTCCAGAGCTGGAGCAATGCATCAACAAGAAGACAAAACTGCTTGTCTGTTTTGCCTCCCCTCAGAGCTCTCAGCAGCTGACCAAGCACGGCTAACTTGATGCAATAAAATTTTCAATACTCCGTAATGTGTCCCGACGAGTCCATAATTCGGACGTCTCTTTTTGATTGACTTTCAGGAAGGCACAATCCCCTGGGGAAAGTCTTCTCTGTTGAGGAGCTACTCGCCATTGGCAACATCTGCCTTCAGCATGCAATCGTTATCCTCTCAGACAAGGTCTACGAACGCCTTTACTTCACGCCTTCCTACACGCGTATTGCCACCCTGAACCGTACGATCGCTCGCAACACTTTCACCGTCAGCTCTGTTGAGAAAGCATTCAACGTGACTGGATGGACAGTGGGCTATGTCATTGGTGACGAGAGTCCCATTAAGCATGTACAACTTGCCCACATCATCTTGGGCTATACCACTGCCGGCCCGGCGCAAGAGGCGGCGGCGGTGGGGCTCGAAGAAGCGGACAGACAGGGTTTCTGGGAAGCGAATAAGCAGCATATGGAGAGCAGGATGCGAAGCATTTGCAGCATCCTCCATAAGCTGGGTTTGCCTGTAAAACTCTTTCATGTGGTAACCCACGAGATGGGCTATGCTTTACCTCCATCCAGGGCGTGAAGGGAAGTCTAATCTTCTTTTCTGCTAGTATATCAAACCATCTGGCGGCTACTTTGCATTTATCAACACACGAAAGATACGCATTCCATCAGACCACACTTTCCCACCAGATGTTGCAAGCAAGCCGCGAGATTGGAAGCTGTGTTGGTTCTTGATACACGAGCTCGGCGTGAGCACGATTCCTGAAGCGCTAAAGTGTCCGTCCCAGGGCTTAATAGCCAGCCCGTGTGCTCGAGGCTGCATGCATCCTGGCTGATGTGTCCCGTACAATGTTCTTACAGTGACTAGCCTTTTTCTGTCCCGAGAACGCGCAATTTAGGTGAAGAATACCTCCGATTGGCTGTCTGCACGACTGATGAAGGGATCGAGCTTGCAAAGGATAGGCTAATGGCACTCAAGACTTACAGTTGATGCAGTAGCTCAATCGTCTTCTTGGCCGAGGACATCCTTCACGAGGCAACCAACCGCACATTTGCGGCCTTGTACGTGGGTAAAGCGTGGGGGCCGATTCTGATATCGTAGCAAAATGATGATTAGCATTCTAACAAAGTCTTTGAACAAATCAAACTCGAAGAAATTGTAAATCCTTACTCTTGATGATTTAACACCAGGCTGGAACGCCCTGTTTGCGGCTCGAGTAGTGCCAGCATTCAATAGTGCGTGTGATCCATTTCGAATTGAGGCAGGTAGCAGTGCCGAAGAGTGATGCAAGCATAGCGCATACATTGCAGCATCCCTGATAGAATGCATAAATCGCCTTGCATGTAGGCGAGATTTTTCATTGGTATGTACTATGGATGGGGCATACGTACGGAGTACGTAATATAATAATGTTGGTGGGGCACCCTGCCAGCTAGCGCATTATCCTCTTGATACGTACAGCGGTCTGTTATAGGCTTAAGGCCAATTCAAACTTTTTGAAAACCAAAATTTGTTTTAAAAATTAAATCTGAAAATCAAAATCCAACCTGGATTCCTTACAGCCCTTACTAATCATTTTATCCTAACTTAATACTACAGGAGTGTGTATAAAGATTTAATTGATTGACTATAGTATACTTTGTACTCTAAAGAAATTCTCTTGCAGAGAATTCTTTTAAAGAGGGTTCTTTTAAAGAGGGTGTCTCTAAGAGGGTTCTTCTAGGGAGGGTTCTTACAAGGGTGCCCCTGAGAGTGCCCCTAGGAGAGTGCCCCTAGGAGAGTGTCCTTAGGAGATTGTCTCTAAGGGTGTCTCAAAAAGGGTGTCCCTAAGAGGGGTTCTTCTAGAGGGTTTCCTAAGAGGGTATCTCTAAGAGGGTGTCACTAAGAGAGTGTCGTAAAGTGATCTTGAATTTGTAAAATGGGTTTTGAAAATCCAAAAATTTGAATTGGCCTTAAGCCTGTAACAGTCCGCTGTAGATATGCATCTTGATCGACCGGATGTTATACGCTTGAAGCCACTGTTTCTAGCGTAGAACGAAAATTTCTAGTGGGCCCACCAACATCACATATTCCTCCTACCATAGTATCATCATGGCCTTAGGCGGCGCAGAGGTGGCACACCAGTCAGTGAGGGGTACATCGATTAAGTGTGGTTCGAAACCCACTGGCGCTGTCCTTTTGGCGGAGTGGTTGATGTGTCCCTTTTCTGGTACCACGCAAAGTGGAAATGCGATTTGGGTCTCGAGTTGGTATCACTCCAGATCGATCGCTGGCCTGCAAAAGATTCTGGAGGCCAGGGATACAATCACAACTCCACGAGGCCGCCGAGGTCTGCCGCCGGGTCGTCACTGCAGCTAGATCCCCTGGAGAGAGCGGATGTGGTTATCAGGCGTTTTTTATCCAAATGCGCCCTCCAACCCTCCACAAAGGGTTCCGCTCAGGGAGTAGCACTTGACCAAAGAGCCAATAATCTCCTTTGCAGACCTCAATTTCTCGTTTGGGGGCTAATGGTCGCAAATCTACAGAAGAGCTCCTCTCTGTGTATCAAGGTGACCCGTACATCTCCCCTGCTATTTACTACAGCAACCAAGTTGTTCGAGAGTAAAAAATGAACAGCAAGAGAGTCTTTGAGTACGATCCTTACTCTTACCTTTACGTCCTCTTCTCTATCGTGACTTATTCCCCTACTCTCCTCCATCAACCACAAAAGAAAAGATCAACATCTCCTCCTCTTATTTGCTCACACTGACCGTGCCCTTACAATTAAAACTCGATAAACCCATCCCATCTTCATTCTTCATCATCATCAGTATCATCAGCATCATGACCTCCCACCCAACCCGCCCATGGCGATTATTGCGATGCCGGAATGGGTGGGGAGGTGTGTGAGGAGGGCGGCGGGGGAGAATGTTGGGGAGAGAGAGGCGGGGAATTGAAGGGAGAGAGTGAGGAAAACTGGAGGGACGACTATGGAACGGGCGGCGCTAGAGTTGACTTGGTGGAACTGATGACATTTTCATCTTCACACCTTTTCTCGCAGCTCTTCTGACTAGACTGCCATGTCCCAAGGTGTATGGCCTCACTGAGCATGTAGATCTGCTTTTCTCTGCTACATGAATGTTTCTCGAGACGCTCATAAATAGCCGGGAATTGGTATGTGATCGTGGTCTTCCCAATGTGGCAATGTCTCTCAAGTGGAAAATGTCAAATGCTAGCAGCTCTTTCACACCGGTCAATGAATCTGACACTACCACCGAAATTTCGATGACTGAGGGGAGCATAATTAACGACTGTAAGGATGACAGGCTGTCGCCGTTCGCATTCACGTTCGCGCCTCTTCACTCACCTACTCCTAGCTCAGCCACTAACAAAGAGTTTCCCGAACAGAACAACTTTTTCAAGCGATAAAACCCACTCTTGCGCCGAAACTCCTCAAACTTAGGTTACGAGCGATACCTACCTACTCTCTTCCCTTGCCATGCCCACCACCCCACCCTTTTCCTCCCTTTTCCCACTCAACCAACTCGTACTCGTCTCCACCTCAATCCCATTCACCGGCTTCCCCTTCGCCCTAGTATCCGGCTCACAATCCCTCCTAACCTCTCCCGTCGTGATGCACGTTTCCATGCTACCGCCGCCGGCATGATTCAGGTTCCGGGCGCTATCACTGTTCCGCTCGCTAATAGCAACACTAGTCTGCTTGGTCGTTGAATTGGAAGAAAATTTGTGTGAGTGGATGACTTTGCCGAGGAGGCCGGAGGAGGAGTGGTCGCTGCCGCCGCCCTTGCTGTTCGAGCTGGGGAATCCACCAAGCCAGCTCGAAGCGAATTTGCGGACCAGAGGGCGCATGGTGGGGAGGCAAGCGGCGACTATACCGAGGCAGGGCTCGGCGGTAGACCAGATGGAGACGTAGCCTAGGGCCCCTGCGGTGTTTATAAGTATTAGCCGAATTCTATAGGGAGCGAAAGGGGCCAAAGGGGTGGAAGGAACTCACATGTCACGTCTTGGTTGTCGTCATTCTGAATTAATTGTACGAAGCGGACAAGACTTATCACGCAGGTTCTGTGGGAGGTTAGAATGCCCTTTTCTCGCCATTTAAAGCGGTATTAGCGGCTTACAATGAACCCAGGAGAAAAATCCCTGTCAACGAGATCTTCTGCATCGTCGTTGTCTGGAGGCGCCATACGGCCGGCATAGGTAATGCGAGGACCATAAAGTCGGTAATGACGTTTGGTGCGGAGCCGAGGATGAAAAAGAGGGGAGCATTGATGCAGGTACCATCAACAGTCTTGTCCCAGATGAGAGCGAGCGGCCGGCACTGGAAAGCGCAGACTAGCACGACCATGATGGCCCAGCATATCGAGAAAATCCCAAGGATGTAGGCAAGGAGGCGCAGGTAGCGTAGACGCCCGAATATGCGGAAGTAGAGCAGGAGAATCGAGACTTTCACAATCGTTACGGATGTTCCCCATATGAGCTCCGATGCGAAAAAGGCCTGGCGGGTAGTTTGTACACTGAGCAGATCGCCAGAGCTCTGGGTACCACTGACCTGTGCCTCCTTGGCGAGTTGATGAGGAGGTATGGTGACAATGTGTGTTCCCAGACCATAGTGGACAGCCGTTCCATCCCATCAGCGCTCGAGACCATTCGACACAGCGTAGAACAGAGCCGACATACCGAGCAGGGTGCAAACGCACATTCCCCAACCGAGGGGCTAAAGCGCCGTCGTGTTAGGATACCATCTCACACATAGTCATTCTCCCCAACCTCTTACCAAGGCCAAAAGAATCAAGTAGTCATCCGCCTGGAACCCCAGACCTTGCACTCTTCGTGAGGAAAACCGTAAGGCCACGGCAATGGTAGCCAATATCGCTACCACCAGATTCGCCGCAACAATGCCCGGCCCCTGGCTTCCCTCGAGATCCGCAGCCGAGAGCTCTGCACTCATATCCGGAGGGATCTGTATATGGAAGGGAGACGGAGTAGTTGCCAAATGATGCCGAATGAGTGAGAGTACCGGTCCTGCCTTGGATACTGCAGGTGTGAGGGGATCCAAAGTTGTGGTACGTGAGAGTACATTCTGCCCTTTATAATCAAGTGGCGGCTTAGCTAATGATGGATGTTGGTTTCTCTGCGGTGTGGAGCACTATCAGCTCAATTCATGAATTGGTGGTGTGTACGGAGTCGTGCTTCGAAAGTAGTTGACCCCCCGGGCTGATGTGGCGTTGCTGGCCTCTCTTAGTTTTAACATTGGCTGGCCAACCACCTAATAGTACTAGGAGTGAGAATCTTAAGCAATACTTATCTTCGTAGGCTCTTAAGGTGCTGCTTATAAGGCTCCACTTAGCTTCTAAGCCCTACCAACCCCTTATCCTACAGCTTAGAAGCTTATTAAGATTTAAGTCATTCGAAAGCCTGACTTTTAGCAGCTAAATCTAAGATGGCTAGTTTCATAGCCACACTCTAGCGGCAGTCAACCACTTTTGAAGCACAACTCGGTAGCTGTCTAGAAACCTGAAAATACAAAGTTCGGAGGAAATAGCTCTGTTGGCGCCAATGCCCTACAACTCCGTACTTTCATCCATTTAAACACACAGGAACGCTATTCTCTTTAAGGAGAAATAACTCATTTAGTGACACAAGGGACACCACAATATCCACACCCGAATCTGACCTCTCCCAATCCATTTCCACTCTGAGACCTGAGCACACGTGACTGTAGCCTGAGCAATGAATAAGCAGCCCTGAGTTGTCGCTGTGCAAGGCTGTTCTGAGCCTCAGCAGCCCTGAGCAACCCTGAGCAACCCCTGAGCATCCTTGAGCATCGGCTGAATTCTACTCTGAGGAGCCGGATCCTGGGCCGCTCCCAACCCGGAGAGCCCTGATTCGTACCCTTCAGGTTGTTAGTTGGGTTCTAATTCCCGGCCCTTATTACTCGCGCATACTTGTCTTTCAAACCGTCTCAGCCAAAGGTTGCCGTCTAAAGTGACAAACTCAGGTACGCAACAAACCCTAATAAGCAACAAATTTACCTAATTCTATATCTAACTTAGTTAATATCTCTTGGTCATTCCAAAGGTGATATTACTTGATAGGGTTTATTACATACCTAGGTTTATTTGCCTCCTACATAGCGTACTTCATAGCTGAAACGTGCTGGCCCGGGCGTACACGTCCTGGCTTACACGCCTAATCTTAGACGAACTAGTGAGTTACTTAAACAAGACTATTCTTATGAGTGTTAAAGTCATACTCCCAGTTTATAAGACCCCCCAGAATGACATCATTATATACTCAGATGGTTCAACGCTTGGGCCGTCCGGCTCTACTGGAAAAAAGTATCCTACAGGGCAGCTTCTCTTTAGGGGCTACCGCAGAAGTGTTCGACGCGGAAGCGGCCGCCGTCCTCGCTGGGCTGGAAGCAGCCCTAACACACAACACGACTCGTTATGCCTCTGATCTCTGGAGCTTCCTCGATAATACCCTTGAAGTTGATACCCAACTGTTAGAGGATTCGAAGGGCTCCTCCCCCCGGGGCGCCGCCCCCTGGCCTCTCCGCCACCGGCTCCCCCACAACCTCCCTGGCTCGGTTCGGGTCCGTTGGGTCCCCGGACACACCAGGATCCCTGGCAACGAGCAAGCCGACAAAGCGGCCAAGGGAGGAGTCGACCCCCCCCTTTCTTTCCTCTCTTCCACGTTCTACTGTACGCGTCAATTGAGATGGATCACAGGACGTAAGAGGATCCTCCGCGCAGGACGGCGGCCACACTATGGAGGCACACTGCGTGCTTCCCGCCCACACCCTGTACCCGGCAGCTATGGAATTGCGCCGCGGTCCCATGTATACTACTCTCATATTTCAGACATCCGGAGGTCACGTGCCCTCGGCACGTTTCCGCCGGCCGTTAAATAGACAGACACACACACACAGTGTCCTCTTCGCACAATTTATACTGACTAGTACTCAATAGGACTTCAGGTATTCTTAGCCCGTTAAAACTGCAATATTCTATAAATTCTACAACTTTCTTCTAGCTGAGGCAGTGAAAAAAAAAGCGTCATCTGAAAATATGAAACACTGAAAATTCCGACACATCCTCCTCTTGCCGCCGGGAGGACCAAGTCACTTGTCCTGTCTACAGATCTCCGATCAACACTTTGGGAGTACCGACCACGGCCTCGACACAGCGGGCGTAAGTTTGGGCCAGTCTATCAGCCTCGGCCTCCAAGACTGCTGGCGTCCAATACGTGAGCCTGACGTCGAAGTTACCCGTACCTTCGTGATCAACCTCGACAACAACATCGTACTAAACAAGTCGGAGAGGTCAGTATGCGAACGGTTGTGCTGCAGCCAGGGGTGGGGGTGGGACACCGTAGAGCGTGGCAGACAAAGAATGGATGGACGCATCCACTTACATCGAACGGATCATGCTCTTCCATTGGCTCCAAGTGCAATCCTATCCCCGATTCTTCGCCAGTCAAAGGCATCTGCCGACGATAATTGACCAGGGTGTTGAAGAGTCTTCTGGTGGGCGCGATTGCGTGCCCTTGATGGGGTAGCGATGCTGCGTATGTAAGGTAATGATGCTGGTATGGAAGACTGTCCAGAAACTGTCTCTGGATGCGATCTTGCAAGTCCTCCGTGGAAAGGCTGTCGTCCAGCTCGATACAGCAAGCTATGATGTTGAGGAACGGACCCACAATGCATTGTGAGTCGAGATGCGACACATCGCGACCCGAAACGACGTAACCAAAGATGGGGCTCGGCGCTTGGGTTCTCTGGCGAAGGAGAAGTGCCCAGGCCGCTCGAAAGACAGTAGAGGGCGTGTGTGTGGCCAACATGGAAAGAGATGCAGTTGTGTCCTGAGTGAGCCGCACGACAACTTGACGTGAACGGTGGTGTGGGCTTGATTGGGTTTGTGAGCACGGGAGTCGGCAAGGTTCCCGGCGGTCGAGAAGCTTTCGCCAATATTGCATGGCTTCGTCTTTCGATCTGCTCTCGATATCGGCAATCAACGTGCTATACGGCGGCGCAAATTGGGATGGGATTTCTTCCGCATAGTACCTACCCAGATCTTTGAACAGGGGTGGGAGCGACAAATGATCAATCAGTGCGTGACTGATGTCCATATCACAAGTGACCTTACCGCTAGGACCCTCGCAAATGGTCAACTTATGCAGTGGCTGTTCCTGTTGCCACGAATGCGGCTCTTGTTGCAGAGACTGCTGCGCACGGTGGCGATTGCAATGAGCAAACTCGACATTGGGCTCGATTCGTCTTAGAACAACCTGATCATAGATGGTTGTGCCGAGCGGGCGTTGAACAAATACCGTTCGCAGGATTGCATGGCGCTCCACAACTTTGTGCCAGGCCGTTCGAAGTCGTCCGCAATCAACAGTGCCCATGCCCAAGCTTGCCGAGAGTCTCAACCGGGTCCGGTAGTATTGGGAGCCTTCATTCTGGGATAATAGCATCGCTTGTTGGATTGGTGATGTTGGGTAGATCCCTTCAATCTCGCCTGGGTCACGGAGACGTAATCTACCCAGAACGCCTTGGACCAGATCGTAGGTGGCGTCGTAATCCATATGCATCATGAATGCATCACAAGCCGCCAGGTCTGGCTGCTCTTTGGGAAACTGGGCAGCAGCATCCCTCAGCAGCTGTTCACAATGGCGCTTCCAACGCTCAATGGCTTCCAAGTGCCGCATCTTGCGATTGTAAGCAAAGTCGAAAAGTATCTTCGAATCCGATACACCTGCAGAGATCTCAAAGAGTGAGAATCGCCTCATGTTTGGACTTGCTGTGTCTCCCGGTTCTCCCATTGAACCAGGCACCTCTTGCAAGACCGATTCTCCTCCCTCAGAATACTGGCTAACGCCTGTGTAGTTAAATACCAGCTCGGCGACTCCAGCCTGTTTGCTCCATTGGGTGCCCTCCCTGTTGAGATATTGAGAGGCAAGGCAGGCAAGACTGTTCTTTGCTACCAGTTTTCGAGCATGACGAATGCGTCTCATCGACTCTAAAGTATCAAAGCAGCCATCAATAGAAGCATGGATTGGAAACAGTGTCGTGAACCAGCCCACGGTACCAGGGATGTCATTGTAAGGGTCCAAGAGGTCTCGTCCATGGCTTTCATTGAATATAGCTGGTGGCTCGCGATCCGTAAATGTCCTGGAGAATGATAACATCAAGATCGCGAGGAACAGGTCCAAGGGCTGGTAAAGGGCAGCCTCGTTACAGCCCTGTAATATTGAGTTGCTCGAGTTTAGGTCGAGGCAAATCTTCGAGTGAATAACTTCACCGTATAAGTTCTCACGCCCATCCATTCCCCAGTAAGCAAAATCAGCTGACGGCACATCATATGGCCTAGCCTCGAACAGCGACAGGTGCTGTCTGCGGTAGTCGGAAAGCAAGTTAGACCATCTTTGAAACGAAACGGGCTTTTTCCCTGAAAGGCTGCCGCTTCGCAAATATGTTTCCAAATCAGCAATAATGATCCGCCAGGAAACCAGATCGATGGCAAAATGGTGGATCACGAGAGACAATATCTGTGAACCATTGGTGAGGTTGATGAGACGGGCGATGATCACTGGCCCGGATTTCGCGTCCACCGCTCCCTGGCTTGCCCGGACCAGAGCATGGGAATCTTCAAAAGATACAACTGTGTTGACGGTGAAGACATGAGAGCTGTCAACATCATCAGTGATCGTCTGCATCCAACGGCCCTGGCCGTCCTTAAACAGCCGGGCCCGCAACATGCCATGCTGTTGGACCAGCGCCTTGATGGCATTTGAGACGTCGTGAGATGAGTGAGGTTCTGACAGTTTCAGCAGCAATGCTTGGTTGAAATAATGTTCCTCCTGAGGCGCGTAGTCAGCGTACATCTGCTGGATTGGAGAAAGCTCGAACGGAAGGTTGCTCTCGCCATCGTCGGGTGCTATCGTAGAAGACCTTGGCGATGATTTTACTGCAGTAAGTTGGGCAATTGTTGCGCCGCGAAGTAGATCGGCCACATCAACTTCAACTTTTTCCGCGCGAGCTTTGGTAATAATTTGTATGGCTGTTATGGAATCGCCACCCAACGATTGCAACGGAGCATCGACGCTGATTGTACTCGGACACAAGTTCAGTGCGCGCGCCCATATTTTTCTCAACACGTTTTCCTTCGGCTTTGTCAGGGCTTCCCCGGTCTTACCAGCGTCCACTTCGTTGGTGCCACGTAAAATCAGCTGATACGTTCTGTGATCAACGTCATCGATGTATCGCTCTACAGAAGACCGTCCGAGTTTGCCCGAAGCCGTGAGAGGTATTGTATCAAGTGCGACCCACAACTCAGGTACCATATAAGAGGGAAGAACGGCAGAAATCGATTCTCGTGCCTTGGCTAACAGCCCAGCTGCTTTGGCACTGTGAGCATTGCGGAGAAGCCGCACACTTCCATCATGTACTGAATTGAATTGCAGATCGCCGAACACGAGCGCCGCAACAAGGCGCTTCCTGCAAAGTCCTGTCTGAGGGTACAGAACTACTGCAGCTGCGACACCATCTTGACATGAGAGGTTTTGTTCGACTTCGGAGAGCTCGAGGCGTTGGCCCCGGACCTTGACTTGGGTGTCACTGCGGCCAATGTAGATCAAAGAGCCGCAGGGGCCGTAGCATGGGACAACATCACGGATGGTGAGCACTTTCCTCCACTTCGTCCAAAGCCCAGCACCAGACTTTGGCGCACGGTTTTGCCCCTGTTGTCGTCTGGCGAGAGGGGAAACTCAAATGACTGTGCTAGGGCCCACAGGCGGCGCCATCGGGATCACGCGAGAGCAGTGGGAGGCGGTGAACGACTTCCACGAATACCCTGTGATGCTCGAAGAAGACTATGGGACAGGACAGTATCTGGCATCACTAGATGTATTCCATCAATTGCACTGCGTAGTGAGTGAAAGTCTAGCAATCGTCCAGAATGCGTTCTGCGGCCGGTCGCCTACTCAAGGACACCTATCCTTGGGACGTTTGTCGACGACGACTCGCTGACCTGCGTTGGATGTCTAGGACCTTCTGCGCAAGAGCACTCACCGCGAATATTACGACAAGCATGAAGGCAGCTTTGCTGGTGCACCGCCGCGCGTCATAGAAGGACACCTGGGTGAGTAGCGCTCCGCACGCGGCCCGGCCAGAGGTTGACGTGCATTCGCCGTGCCTTAGAGCATTGCGTCGAGACACTCCGGCAAACGCTCATGTGCCATGGGGACATCTCGTTGTTGACCTACAATTGGGTCGAGGGTCGCGATATGCCTTATCCAAATTTCAACACCATCCATACGTGTAAGAAGTGGGACACGCTAACACGATGGAATATGGGTCGTGACGTGACTGTTGAATGGAGGGAGGGCGAGGTGGTGAAGGAGTACCGGCCGCCGACGAAGCCGAAGGGCGTGACCGGGATGAAGGTTCCACCTTGATCGAACCGTGTGTCCCCGTCTCGCGTACTGATAATCGATCGATCTTTTTCCGGCTGGACAATACTATCTGAAGCATCCGGGATATGAGGGTATTTCCTATCACTTCCATGGTGTATTGGGCAAATGTGTGGAACTGGGGCGGAGCTAGCAGATTATGTAATGTAAAGCCAAATAGATATGGTAGAAATGCCTTGGGATTCCATGAAATGTACGTCGCCAGCGGTACGCGTGCGTTCAGCTTGCACAGTACGGCTAAGCAAACACAGAGAGAGCTGAAATGAGGGCCTAATTCCATGAAGGCAAACCATTGGTTGCTCCTCTTGTTGTATATAGAGAAACGGGCATAGCTGAAATAGGAAAAGAGCGGTGGCGAGGGATCCTTGTAGAACTGAGCCATCCAGCTGTGTATATTCTGTAGTGCGGGGGACGACGGAGGTCGGAGTTTGATAAAATGCTACGGGGGGCGAGCCCACATGAGCAATTGGTCGATGAAGAAGACAAGGGTAGTAGGCATACAGGGGGCTAGAAATGGTGGAATATCTGTCTGCTCTGTATTCTAGGCCATACACTCTTCATGAACTCTGGATAGCTCGACTTGGGAGTATAAAGAGGGATCGATTAGAGCGACCTGAAAAAAGGTGTGGGATTTTCCGCATGGTCGATCACGTGCGCAGTAGGGCCAATTGATCGTGAGAGAATGCCTTGTTTCTTTGATGGAATGTACGTCGCCCGCGTTTTTAACTGTCAGATGTCGATGTATCTGCTAGTATCTTGTTTGTCCCATAACTTTTATGAGCCGGCTTCCCTTTTTCTAATATAAATATCGAAACTTGGTTGGGTGCTGTCACATATAGATTCGACAACCTATATATCTCCATATTTCTGTGGCGCAAACTAGTCTCCAGCGTCGGCCATTGATCGGGGGAATAGAGGGATAAAAGATAGTAACCGTAGCAGCTTCGGCCTCAGCGCGGGCAGTGTAAGAGTTGGTATTTTGAACAATTGATCAACGAACTCCGGCAGAAATAGGAAGTGAAAGGGTTCCAGAGGCAGTAGATGAGATATAAGTGGCCTAGGCTTTCTTTCTCTGAGCTCTAGAGGCTAGAATATAGTCAGGAAATGGTAGTAGGTCGCCGCTGCTGCTCAGTAGATCTCGGAGAAATCTCTGGGTTGCCATTGGCACAAGAGCTGTTTCTGGAGTTGTGCAGTCTGTCTCTCTTGTAATTCGAGGGCCAGAGGCAGCAGAAGGAGCTCCTCTTGCTTCCCAGATAGTTTTTGGGCCAATGAAGCAGTTGGTGGGCTCAATCTGTGGGGCGGGAATTGTATCTTCGATTGAAGGGACCAGATCGGTCTATACAGCTTTTTGAGCATTATTTCGAGCCTTTGGAGCTTTTGGGGTGCTCTTTTTGCTGAAGATGCTGCAGAGAGTGTTTTTCAATGCTCTGGGATAGATTGCAATGCCTGTAAAAGCACATGTGCGGTGTGCAGTGGATTTGAAGTGATAAGAGCGTTCGTGGAGACGGATTCGGGCTGCACAGCTTCCTGCACCGATTTCTCAGCTGATTGAGCTGTTTTTTCTCCTTCTTTGCCAGTAGAGCTGTAGAAGTCACTTCTTCGGATTTTCATCGAGTCGTGGCTTTTCTCGAACACCCTGTGCGCCGTGGTTTCATTTTCAAATGCACGCATTTTTATTCCATTGAGATTTGCCAAAATTGCCAGGGGATCGACAAAGTCTTGGCAAGACTCCGGTGCCAAGGAATTAGGGAACAGTGCATCACTTAGCAGGAGAAGGCCCTCTAAAAACTATGCCTAAATTATCATCAATGTGTGCTTAGCTTTAGCCTAACCGTGATACAATCTAATTTATATACTATTATGTGGCTAAACATCTAGAACTAATAAAATTATGTTATTTCAGACGTCATTTCAAGAAAATAACACTCAAATTATGGCTAAATTATAATTATTTAAGCCTCCTGACGATCCTTAAAATAATAAAATGTCTGCAAAATCACTAAGGACCAATACTGCGTCATTTTCAGAGCCCTTCTCCCGGTAAGCATGATGTGGGGTGCGTGAGATACGAGATACGGCGCGGTACTCAGTACATCTCCACTACCCCCCCACATTCCTTTTCTCTTTTCCTTACGAATACATCAGTCTGCCATCCTTCGACAGCCTTCGTTTCATCATAACACTACAACACTCTTCCAATATGTCGACAATCACTGCAAGGGTGTCGCAGTCGGCACTCTCCACCTCACCAGAGCGTCAAAGTCTGTCACAACGCGCATCCACCAGCACCCAACGCGAACCAGAAGCACCCGCCACTTCAGTCGTCGTCCCGTTGCCGCGGTGGAAGGCGACGCTGGTGATTGTGACGATCGGATTGATGACCATGATGAGCACGGTCTTGAGCGGTGTCCTCGCCGTTGCCCTGCCCAAAATCGCCAAGACTTTAGGCATCGCAGAGAGTCTTTTGCTATGGTCCCTTGCTCCTCCCACTCTGCTCTTGATTCCAATAAAGCCGCTCTGATAGCCCTACAGGCCCGCCTCGGTATATTCTCTGACATGCGGCTGCACACTACTGCTGTCAGGTAGCCTGGCAGACGTCTTTGGGAGTCGGCTCGTCTATCTAATAGGCAGTGCATTCTCCACTAGCATGGTCCTCGCCTGCGGTCTCTCCCGATCAAATGTGCAGCTGATTGTTTTCCGAGCTTTACACGGCATCGCCATCTCTCTTTGTCTGCCCAGCTCGGTCAGCATGATCGCCGGCACTTTCCAGACCGGCCAGCGCAGAAACATCGCCTTTGCCTGTCTTGGTGGCGCGCAACCAATGGGTTTTCTAGTAGGGCTGGTCATTGGGGGCATCTTGACCGACACCATCGGCTGGCGACCTGCCTTCTACATACTCGCAGGCATCAACGCTGTGGTTTTCTGCACGGCGCTGACCTGTCTTCCAGAGAAGGTTGGTGGCGCTCGGGCCGACGTGCTGCATCGTTTCAAAACAGAAATCGACTGGCTCGGCGTCGTGCTCATAAGTACATCCCTAGGTCTTCTCTCCTACGTACTGGCAGCAGTCACTGTCCACCTCTCCGCCATCTCCTCCCCCACCAACATTGCCCTGCTGATTCTAGCTGTCCTTCTGTTGCCCGCCTTCTCGATCTGGGTCCACCACCAAGAGAAAGCCGGCCGTCCCGCTCTCATCCCGAACTCCATCTGGCGCAACCCTGTCTTCACCTCACTCTGCATAACTGCTTTCTTCGCCTGGGCTACCGTGACCGCAAACCAGTACTTTCTCGCGCTCTATTACCAAAAAGTGCAACTCCTGACAGCATTCGACACCAGCCTGCGCTTTCTGCCGCTCGTGGTCAGCGGTGTGCTGGCGAATATAGCCGCCGGATCTTTAGTCCGCCGCGTCCGGGCTGACGTATTGATTGGGGGCTCCGTGCTCCTCAGCGCCGCCACACCTCTCATAATGGCGCTGATCGATCCTTCGCTCAGCTACTGGACGGCCGCCTTCACCGCAACTCTGCTCTCACCGATCTGGGCCGACATTACCCTCATCGTGGCAAATTTGGTAACTCTTTCACCACTACTCCCAACCTCCGCTATTCGGGGTACCAATATCTGATCAATTCCCTCTAGGTGGTCACGCAAATCTTCCCTTCCTCCACGCATGGTCTCGCCGGGGGCGTGTCTAATACGATGGCACAGGTGGGCACGAGTCTAGGGCTCAATTTCACCGCTATCCTCGCGACGGGAGTGACCATGAGCTTGGCCGATGTTGATAAGACATCACCATCGGCATTGGAGAGAGGCTACAGAGCAGCATTCTGGGCGTCTTTCGCGGCGACAGTACTGATGCTCGGAGTGACGGGCTGGGGTATGGGAAGAATGGGAAAGGTGGGCACTGAAAAGACTAATTAGGTGTATGGCCGGCCGCTCGAGGCAAGGAGGGCATCGTGGCAGAATGCACTTGACTTTGCTCGACAAGATGCTCGTGCACATTCAACAGCCCTGGATTGTGCCATCGATTGTTCGAACTCGGTCCCTGAGATTCACTAACATGTAAAGATGGCATCTGTCACAACACTGGCGAGGGCTTGTCTCTTTCAAGCAGTAGCAGGTTCCAGGCATGGATTGGAATTGACTGGCTGGCTATAAGGGTTTGATTCCCATCGGTAACCTCCTGATTTCTGCATGTCGGTGGCAGGAGCAGGACAATCACCTCCTTTCTGCATTCAACCGGATTGCCAGTTCTCCTGTGCCCGTTCCCGCCAGAACTCGAGCTCTATCTTCTCTGTGCCTATCTCTGAAGAAGATTTGAAACCTCTCTTTCTTTGGTGGTCACTAGTCAGATCATTTCTAGAGCCCTGATCAACACTGCATCTTCTTAGGTGTTTCGCTGCTGCGACGAGGCTTGTCGTTGAGCTACGCAAAGCTTCCGCTCCTCCTCCCCGTCCTCGGTTCGCCCATCCACAGTCTATCGTTTCGTTATCATCTCAAAAGTATTGACGCTCTTGTACAAGCCCGAGTAGATCAGCCGTCCTACTGTCATAAGTGGGAATGCAAGCGCCGCTCACCAAACCCAACAGATAGCCTCTATGTGTCACCTTTCTTCTCTGAAAGCGCGCATCCTCGGTCGAAGTCAACCTTCCCTCCAACACGTGCCCAGGCGATTCGATAAACTTGGCCGAACACTCCATACCAGCATCAGCTGGGACTATCCCCGAACTTGGAAAACTCCCCGTCGTCAATCTCAAAGCTCAACATCAATCCACGTCTGCAGAGCGTTCAGATGATGGCTCAATGCAGCTCGACAGCATCTTCAAGGCCACCTTTCGGCCACCTTTCCACAAAAAGAGAGTTCCATGAGCAGAGCTGGACCAGATCCAAAGAAACCGTCATTGAGCAACATGAGTCGCCGATTCCGGAACCATCTCTTCCAATCTCTCTTCCAGACTTTCACGTCCCTAAATGCCGCATTTCTAACCTTGTCAAAGATCTAGTCCCTTGGAGGAAAGAACCACCAGGATATGAAAGGACCAAAGCGAATAAGAAGAATGATTGGGTCGAGCGCCTGATCTCACACAGGCGGCATCATGCAACGACAGACGTGCCATATCAGCAGACCTACCGCCATTCCCGAAAAAAAGCACTGAGACCAGCAGCGTCTTGCAGTATTGGTGGAAGTCATCAACAATACCTATCCAGTCAAGCTTGAAACACCATTTGCGAACCTGAGGCCTGATATAGCTCTTACAATGTCAGAGCCTCCTCGGAGCAATAAAACGCCTCCAATAATAGCAGATTACGACTCAGCCCTTTCTTGTGGCTTGCTTGCCATACATATTTACTCTGCAATCCCACTATACCTTGCCCGCAAGCCAGCCACCAGCAGTGATTTATCCTTGAAGATGCCCGACTCTGTACAGCACACATCAATGTACTTTTTCTTATGTCGGACGAGAAAACCTTTGTCCCTACATATGTATCAAGGACCAGCAATCAATCACGTACTGGAACATCTGTACCAATTATTCTTATATTAATATTATTTTACTCCCTTTAAAGTGTAGTGGTAGGTGGATGGCTTCTCCTATTCAAAAAGAAAGGAAATCTATTAACCATCAAAAAGTACGTTATGTCGGTCTCCAGTGGAATGATCACTCAACAGATGTTGAACGGCACTTAGCAGTTTATGCAGGATAGCAAGCTGCCTAGCCTTTGAACAAGCACGGTTGACCTGTTCGCTTGCTCACATAGGTGCGGCGGTGAGCGGCAGTAAGCGGCAGTGAGCGGCAGTGATGATTCACACCTCGTCATTTCACTTAGCCTTTACAAGTAATCCTTTATCCCACTGTTCTTACCTGCTGCAAGCACCCTGTTTGCACGTTTGTGTTCTTTCTGCACAGCGAATGTTCTCCTCCATAAGTAGTGGCTACTTTTCTTCGCAGCAGGATGCAGAGACAGCAGCGTCAGGAATCCTTCTCCAACCATTCCTCTTCATTCTGGATAGCGAACCTACTTCGTTCCCGACGGTGAATCAGATCTCTTCCAGTCGCTCAACCATTTGTTAACATGTACAGAATACTTCTCCGCACCCATTCAAGCCCATCATGGCCAATTTTTTCGTCAAGGATCGTAAGTATATCCCGTGATATCCCTGTCAATGCTGATATTGTATCAGTTCTCTCTAAACTTATCTACCCTTCCTGTATAATTGGCATAAGCACCATGGCCAACGGCTACATCCTGTCAAGACAAATCTCAGACCTCGAGAGAAAGATGGACATCAGGATCACCGCCCTCGAGAGAAAGATGGACATCAGGATCGCCGCCCTCGAGAGAGATGTCAAAATACTATTACGCCGGAAAGGCTGTTCCTGGATGTAGGGAGAAAGTGGGGCTGGGGGATATTCTGCAGAGGGTGGCGGGGAGGGCGCCGTGAGAAGATACTGTGGGGAAGACGGCGGCTGCGGAAGGGATGCCATGCAAGTGACAACAGCAGCACCAGTTTTACTGTTAGAGCATGATAGGATATCTAAATACTCGGTGGAAGCTGCGCATAAGTCGAAGAAGCCGGACAAGCCGAGCTTGAGTGAGACCGGAGTCCTCTTTCTCAACAGATCTTACTTCGCGAACCGGGTTTCCTTGACAGGTTCTTGATATGCCGAGACGTTAATGACCAAAGGAACTAACCAAAATAGGACTAGATTGTGCGTATTCTGTGTGCTTATTCTGTGTAAACATTCTATACATTCTTTCTGCACATTCTATATGCACATTTTGTGTACGTATTCTGTACGATATTAGTACGCGTTCTGTGCGTTCATTCTGCATATTCTATAAATGCATTCTCTGTACACATTTTGTGTATACATCTTGTGTGTACATCCTGTACATTCTAAAAGTTTTAATGAGGTACGTCTTGACCAAATTCTGCAGTCTTGACAGCCTAAAACGGCTCTATTCTTAAGAAGAAAGAAATGCAATAAAATTATTCAATAAGCATCCCAATTTCTACGGTCAATCCTGTTAGAAGTAGTAGCAAACAGCGTACGGAGGTGCCAATTCACTTGATTGAGTTACTCCTATCAAGAGGAGCATTTGCTCATACTAATAGCAATGCTCACTGCCATAAATGACAGAGCGTAACAGTTACAAGAGCGTTTCGTGCGTTTTGCATGCGGGGACCTGTCACGGCTGCCATGCTTGTCGGCCGCTAGCGCTAGGGCCGCCGGGTATTGATTGGCACTACGCGTTAGTAAGGGGCATGCTCGCTATATAGGAGCGACCCCAGTGCCATCCTCGTCGGCTCTGCAGTCTTAGGATAGCACTCAACATGGGCTGAAGATCTCGCGCACTCGTCGCCTGCTTCCAACGTGACACGTGACAGGACCCTTGTACCATCATGCTAATACGCAACAGATACGTATCATATACGCAGGGATTCTGACAAATCCGGGTTGTAAATTACAGTTTACAATACATTTCAGTTAATTTGATTACGAATTTTTATGCTTGATGATAAGTGTGTATTAAACAGGATAATAAAAAATAAGCTTGATGATAGGGCGACGGCTATTAAATGCTTTATAGGATGCTGTGTCTTCTGACTATCTTAGAAGCTGCTTCAGTGGATGCAGACAAGATATCAAGCAGTTACAGATGTTAATGGAATGTAAAAACTGGAGACCAGTTCTATTTAGGCTATTTTGCAGGCGTCCATACCTGATTCTATACAGTACGTTTTGTATGGATATTAACGTTTTCAGCAGGGGGTATACAGAAAATAGGCCTGTAGCCGTAGTAGTCGATCAATCCTGCATGATAAACCCTGCATGTTCCACGGCATTTTCAAGCCCCCAAACGCCTTGCGAAAGGCTTATTGATGGCAGCGCCGATCAAGGAAAAGGGTTTAATCATTGAGATAAATCGGAGGCACACTTGTTGTCTATTAATCCACCAAAGCACGCGATGTTTGTTTCACGTCGAGGTAAGGGTCACTACTCATTGATTGGAGGCAGTGATGCCGGCAACTCGAGCGTCGCTGGTATATCAAGACTTTCGATACGTACGGCAATCCTCCAGTTATTCATCATCGCATGCGCAGCCAGCATTGGAGGTCTTGTAGGGAGGTATAGCTCTCCGAGCCAATACCAAATGAATGTTCCATGTGAGTGTCCTCGCCGGTAGGGACTATTCAAAAATCCACCAACTCCCACACAGTAGACGTCAGACGCCAGATTTTCCGATACAATCGCACCTTCGGAGAGGTTCCTTCGAACACAACCGATCGCGCATGGGAAGAGCTATTTCCCGAGCAAGGAGGATTTTTCGTCCATCCCGCAATAGCTCCAAAAAGATCGGCCTTCTCGGTTTTTCACTAGTTACATTGTCTGGTGCGTTGGTGCTGTCTTGTGTACACGATGTTCTCTTCTTCTGATAAAATGCATGCAGAACGGGATTCGGGATGGCTATTGGACGGTCTTCCAAGCCGCGACCGAGGGAAGGCGAGTGGCAGAGCAAGACCTGCCAATGATGTCTTCGCCGCCTCATATCCGCCACTGCATAGATCTTCTACGACATAGCCTGATGTGCAATCCTGATACTACTGTGGAAGTCAAAGACGAAGAGGTTGGAGGCGTCACCGGTTTTGGAACCGAGCACCAGTGTAGAGATTGGGACCAATTGGTTGCATTCACCAGAAAATGGCAGACTTATGGACAAGAAGGGCCAGATGACATTCATATAAACAGGCACGAAAGCCATCTCCATGACTCGCGTCGGAATCATGATCTCAATCAATGAACATTACTTGGAACGTACATCACCAACTTGATTGTTGCAATGGTTTGATCAAGCGGCCGATTTCGTCGTCCTCCACATGGCGATAGGCAATGGAAGACACGAGGGTTTCCCAGTCAATGCATTCGTGCACGGATTCGCTGGCATCGAACATGGGTTTCGTTTTGGGCCTTGTCCCATGTAAAGGTAGTCAATGATAGATCGGAATGGCAGATTGCCGCCTGCCTGAGCATCTCAAAACAATGATCTGGAGCCGTGTAAGCTGGCATTCCTGTTCAAGGGATCGAGTGAGCTTGACCAGCATGGGATGCCATATGTTTTCGCTCTTTTTCTGTAAGACTGGGATGATAGTGGTCACGGTAATTCCACTGTCGCAAAAATTTCTTCGGTGCAGGGGCTAAGCGTTAGATATATTTCGTAACCTCGAGTCGGAGCTGGAAGACTCCCGATGCAGTGTAGCTCATGGAAAACTCCCAGCCATGCCAGGCTGCCGCCTCCTTCTGGCAAGAGCCACGGAGCTTTGGCCGGTACGCTTCAACTCGGCTTCAGTGACGCGAATATTCATCGGTTCGAGAAGATTGGACCAGGCCTGGTCAATCTCAGAGCCAGGGAGCCCCGCGTAGGGATTTCCGGTAGGATTCTTGAACAATAACATCTTGTGTTGGGAGCGAAAGATGGTCGATTGCTGGAGGAAGATTCAGTTAAGTCAAGCAGGTTATCCAGAGAAGGACTTACTCTTCTGCCCTGTCACCGCTCCCCTCTTTGCGTTTATGACAACGAGACTGATAGCGGTATACAATGCTATCAACATGACATGTATCTGCCATGGAGATCTTTTTCGCCTCAAAGAAGACGTCGCTGCCTCATCGTCGTTTCCCGCTTTTACCTTTGGCTGAAGAAATGGCTCAGAGTCTAACGTCGCCATTTCTTCGCTTTTATTCCAAAACGGGCGACCCATCTTCAGAATCCAATCTTGAGCGAGAGCTCTTACTGCACAGCCTCGATGATAAGCACGCTGGCCCTGTCGAGTACTTGTCTACAGCCTCACATTACACATCCGGCCAGGCGTATTACCCTCGCCTGCGAATGCCGCAATGGAGGCTATCGAAGCCGGTGCGGAGCAAGGATAATTTGACCCCAGGCAAACATGCAACGGTGATTTGTCAAACATGCAAAGGTGAACAGCATCCACGTGCATGCACCATCCAATGGAGACTCGACAGCCATTTACCGAGGACCCAACTCCCCGTCAGCATCTCAGAGACGTGACGGACGGTACTAATTATCATTTGATCTTGGTGCATATTGGTGTTGGTGACCGGCCTCAGCCTCCGTTTCCCCTCACATGCTTCTCTTGTACTTATGCCAATGCATCATGGCTGTTGCTTCCCTGACTGAGAGTACCGAACAATATCTTTCTGTTTGACAATCTGCAGAGATACGTAGCAAGCAAGTTGTTCTATCTAGCTGGAGGGGGTGGGGGGAGCGTGCGTTAGCCCTGTCGATCTTGTACAACAATCTTGTGGATATTGGGTCATCAAGCATACAGACTAGTCTTAATTGGAATATTTCTGGGCACTCTATCCTCTACAACAGTGTGAACCATCTACGTGACGTTGTAATTTTACATAGCGTTTCTAGCCCAGTGCTACGAGTTCTTATGCCTCCTCCTTAGTACAAATCGGCTGTACGGCACAGCGAAAAAGCGGGAGAAAATGCACTAAATCAACGCACTCGAAACGCAGGGGCTTTTTGTAGAAACTCCCACCAAATCAGCGCTCATCCAGCTCGACACTTTCACACCTATCCACCTGATATCTTTCGTCCGGCCACTCTTAGCAAAAGCAGTAACCAAACATCCCAACGATGGCTTTTGCTCTCCAGAGCGCTCTATTAAGAGTCAGTTCCAAACCCATCATGCAGTTCTCCCTTCTCTGTCTCGCCACCTTCGGCATAAGCACTATAGCCACTCCCGTGGGATCAGCGAGTATGTTCTTTTGTTCGTCAAAAACAGCTCATGAGCTGACTGATACTAGATGATGGAGTCGTCGTTACCTATCCAGAATCGTATAAGAGAATGGCCTCCGACGACGCTATCGCCTACCCCGACTCCTACAAGCGTAGCGAATTCCACGACGCCGCTTGAGACTCAGGAAACCAACGGTAAGTCGCAGTAAGCGAGCTCCAGTCTGACCGCATGGGCTGCTACGAAATCATCCAACGAGCCGCGCCCAGGGTAATCTGAATTGCGGGTTTTTCCGTGGCTCAGAAGTTAACAAGCAAAGATATTGCTGTTCTTCTCTCCTTTACGGTCTCTTTTTTCTGTCTTCGTGGTCTGCCAGGAGTCTCAAGACGACCATGGGCATATGCGAATCGATGAGGATGATTGAGTTTGTGAAGATTTTGTTTTTATGTTCTGCACCCATACCTGCACCCATAGACAACCCCCATCTCTTTGCAGCAGATCCGGCGCCTTGATCCTCTAGCGGCTGGTTATTGGTCGTCCATGTGCTGTACTACTCCAAGAGATCCTATATTCGCTTCTTCCGTCAGCATGATCGCAGTGAGGTGCGAAGCTCAGTCCATTCTCCGCGGACTATCGACCAACTGCATTAAAGCATGAAGAAGACGCAATCGAAGACGGTATCGCGCAGTGGGGCGAAAATAGTATGTTGGTCGTGCCACGGCCGATTACCTAACATATTGAGGTCCCTTTAAATACTCCTTCCTCTTCATATTCCTCCTCCTAAATCTCAAGCCGAATTATCCTATCTTTCCATCATGTCTCGCTGACCAGTCTCAAGATTCCGGAGCTTGGTCTTCCGTTATTTTAACCGCTTCTCTTTGGTAGTCTGAGCTGCCATCCTGTACATCTGATGACACTGCCGCTCCGCGTTCTCTTCTTCATTCCTGGTGCTTCTCCAGCCATATAAGAGCCCAAGGGTCCCGCAAACTCCCTTTCGCAGCTTGCTTTCTGGTCACCTTATCTAGGTCCTCTGTTTACTTGCTCAGCTCTCCTTGGAGCTTATTTAGCTCTGTTATCTCTCTTCGTATACTTTGTTACTCTGCTTATTCCTTCTACTATTCAGCTCCTGCAGCTTCTCCTCCCATAGTGAAGCTTTTGCTTTCTCGCTCCCTCTCTTCGGCGTTCCTGTTCCCTGAGCTGAACTGTTGCTGAGGCGTCTCAACAATGGTTGTTTTTGGTTTGGTTTCTTGGGCATACCTAGTGAAGGCATATTGGGTATCATATCGCTGGTGCCTTTTGGGGTCGCGTATGGCCGAGGTTGCTTGCTGAGCAATAAACCTATTGGTACAAGAGGCGGTAATTTGACAAAAACGAACTCAAAAGCTAGAATTTGGCTGTCGCATTAGGGTTCGTAAAATGCTTATCAGAATGCTTGTACCGTTTTGCCTACCAAATCCATACCCTCTTTGCTCGTCTGTCCTACAGTCGGCCTCCAAGGACCTGGTCCTCACCACCACCGCCACCGCCACCCGCACACGCAATATCCACCACTCCCACCTCGCCACAACTCCCATCCCGACATAATTGATCACACGCGACACCTTCCGGAACCCACACTCGGTGCTCCTGCCCCACGATGGGCAACCTCCACTGCTTAGCCGTGTCAGCTTGAGGAGAAGAGGAGGCTTTGTAGCCCGGGCGACAGGCGCAGAAAGAGCGCGGGTTGAGAAGGCGCGGGTCAGGGAATATGCAGGTTGGTGCTGTGGTTGGGTCGCAGGTGTGATGGCCGAGAGGATTGCAGGGAGATGGGCAGTTGGAGGGTGCGTTGCGGTTGGGGTCGGGTTCGGTGGCTGGAGGTACAGGAGTGTTGTTATTTGGGTTGGGTGAGTTGTTGTTTGGGAGGCATTGGAGGGATGTGCCGTTGGGGCAGATAATGGGGAGAGGTGCACAAGGCGGGGAGCTTCCATCGGGGCAGGAAGCGATGTCTGGGGGACATGGTGGCGAGACGCCTTCTGGACAAACTTCTGCTTCGAGGTTGCAGGGTGGTGGGGACGAGTCCGGACAGGAAGCTCCAGTTGATGGCGGATCGCAGGTGTTGGTTGCTGCGTTGCAGTGGATTTCCTCACCGCTTATCACGTCTATGGCCTGTTCCGTGTTGTTGGGTCCGGGCGGAGAGGCGCACACTCGCTTTAGTGTCTTCATGATTTGGTCGCTGGGTCTGAAGAGGTTGAGGCCCCGCAGAGAACGCCCTTCAAGGCCTGCGCGGCTGTTCAGGAATACGGGGGCAGGAGGAGGTACATCGAAAACGACATGTTGGTTCAGACAGCTTGGATCGATTCCTCCAGATGGAGGTGCTCTTCTCATGGTGAAGAAGGCGGTGAACATGCTCGCTCGCTGCATGGTTGTCCATGGCTTTGTTTCGTCGGGGTCGGTCTCTACAATGACGCCTTTGTCTTGGCCGTAACTCATGTAGTTAGCCACGTGGATGGTCTCGTTCGCTGGGCAAAAGTCCCATGTTTTGCCTCTGCCCGTCCCCGAGGAGCAGCATTGACGCTGGAATCGGTCGAACATTTCGGGTACGCTATTGGGAAATTGGAAGGTGTCAGCAATGCCATCACTTGAACCCGCGCACTCGGCTCCTTCTTCGTCGGGGAAGATGTGCCACAAGTTGAACCAGTGGCCGATCTCGTGTGTGAGGGTGCTACCGGTGCCACCCTCGAATCTCCAGGCGACTCCGGGAAGGGAATCAATTTCAATGACACAGCCATCTGCAGGGTGGTTCGTCTGGCGCAACCAAGAAGCCGGGGTGCAGTAGCCGTCTGTCCGCTTTGCACATGTCGGGGTATCGATCGACTCTACAACCCAGATGTTAACTTCGTCGTTTCCGCCATATCGGTTCTGTTGTTTGATTCTCTCGGCATTGGCCTGATAGGCAGTTGTGGATTTTGGATTGTCAGCCATCATGTGTTGGGTAAAAGTCCTGAATTCTTCTCCAACGTGGTAATTCATGGTTGCAAAGAAGAAGCTGATACCGAGTGGCTCGAATGCCTCATTGGTCAATGCCAGCTGCTGCTCCAAGATCTCAGGGGTCACAACGCGGCTGGTTGTGACGTTTGTCGTGAAGACAGTGAAGTGGATGGGTACTTGGATTGTCTTGGGTATACAGAGTGGCCGCGGAACATACTTTGGCGGCTTATCTAGAAATGGAATATCTGTGAGGTTGGAATTAGGAGCGGCACGTTGACCGTCGCTGGTCGCTTACCGATTGAGGCAATTCCCTTTTCGATTTGTTTGGCGGCGCCTTTCAGTTCGTTGGCAGTCGCTTCGATGATACTTCCTCCTGGGATCTTGCTCAACCACGACTTCTTCTTCCTTTTCTCCAATTTCTGCACGCTACTTGCCAGGCCACAGTAAGGTAAATCAACAGGTTTCTGAAACGGCATGGGGTTCTTTGAGAATTCGACCAGGTACTCGACTTCGAGCATTTTGTACAGCAAATATTCTTCCGCCGATACGACTTCTTCCACCCGAGGCGCCTCAAAGAATCCCGCTGGGCCTGTCAATGCCGCCTTCTCAGCGCTGGCGCACCCATCACAGTCAGATCCTTCCGGAGTGTCGCACCATTTGTATGTAAAGTCACCACATGGTCCTTGGGCGGAGGTTGGGTGAACTGGGCAAGAAGGGTTAGAGATGGGATACGGCTTGAAAGCGAATGGAGCAGCTGCAGCCAGACCCGCGCATGCGAGTAAACATAATCGTTTCATGGTGCAGGGAGCTCCACACGCGTCAGCCCCCAGAGTAGGGGAGGTGAGGTGGACGGAGACCGAACGTGAAGACAGGGGTTAAGATATACGTAGTAGTTACTCAGTAGAGAAGATGATATTTGAGGTATTCACGGAACTGCAAATGTGCTCAACAGAGAGCCCCAAGCCAGAAGCAAACAGCAAAACAAGAAAGGAGTACTTAAGACATCTAGAGACATATCTTAATTAAGCTTTACCATAGCAGCTGACTAGGCGCAGTTCTCAGTTCCGCTGCCGTTAGTAAAGCTTTTATTCGTAGAACAGTGCTACACTAGCCCAAGCATACCGAGCGAGGATGAGATTGAGGTTGGTGTACACTAAACAGGTCGCCGGCCTCGGGCTTAGCCCAGAAAAAGCCGAGTAAATTTCTGTTGGCGTTATGAGAAATCCAATAGTAGCAATGCCTTGTAATGCATTGCAATCCCGCGGCGGAGAAAGGGGCAATGCCAAGGCATTGGCTGGAGAAGAGAGCAATCGAGGTTCTAGACCTGAGGCTTAGCTGCTTTACTTAGAACCCCTTTTCGGAAAGAGCTTGGATCTGGGCCTTTACTAAGTACTACTAGTACTACTACTTAAGTGTGAACCAGTTCTTCCCAAAGCCACACGTCCCAATAATAACACGTAGCAATGCTTCGGCTTCAGCTCGCCCTCTTCAACAAGCTGCTAGTAGTGAACTACCGGCTGTACGGAGTAGTATTTGCACCAAGGCTTAGCAAGATTCTTCCACCACGTGAGTGCTAAGGAAATACCAGTACGTTCAGTCAATTAATCATCCTTTCTATTTCACACAGCAATGGCCGCATTTCTACAGAGGGCACCCCTGTGTGGTGATCTTCATACATATCTCATATGAGATTTGCTCAGTACGAGCAACAGATTGATTAGCCCAACTTCTGCAGCCAGGTAAAGAGGAACGTTCCCTATCATGAACTTTTGTATTTTGGATATATTGCCGCTGTTTGGTCGTCTGATTTGACCCATTTTCTCAAATTTCTCAGTTCTTTGAGCAGAGCGAGTGACACCAAACATGGCCCGAAACATGGCTGTAATAGCTGCAGAGATCTTGACCATCTTGGCTCTGATAGTCGCCTGCATATTCAGCTTTGGCGGAATGAAACCAGTTGGGGAGCTGGACACTCGTTATCTTGCTCTGGTATGAATGACCATGCCAAACCTATCCACCCTCATCGCTAACTATATCACGCCAAAATCCAGATAGACACCTCCAACATCACTTCCACCGTCTCCCAAGTGACCTACCACGGCCTTCCCGACTCGCACGACTTCTCCAAACACAAAGACGTCTTTGCCATCTACCTCTACGCCTACTGCAGCGGCACCCTCGAGGACAAGAACAGCAAAGATGATGCCAAACGCTACAAGATTAACTTCTGCTCGAAGCCCGGATCCGAGCTGTTCGATCAGTACCGGCTGTGGAAAGTCTGGGGCGTGGATCTGGCAACGCCGAGAAAGGCGAAGAACGAAGTCGACAAGTCTATCGGCGTAGCCGCAATAAAGAAAATGCCGAGAGTGATCCTCGTCGGCTTCAATACGGCAATGCTGAGTCTAGGCTTGACGGTCCTAGCTGGCCTCTCAAGTTACTTCTTTAGACACTGGAGTTTAATCACCGCAGCCGTATTTTCGACGGTATGCAAATGTCTCCCGTCCCCTTCTCTTTCAACCACCCCATGTTAACCCTTTTCCCCGCGTGATTCCTTGAGAGCTAAACATACTAATCACCCATCACAGATATCCTCCATCTCTATTCTCACCGTCTCCAGCCTTTGCCAATCCCTCTACCCAACCCTCATCCACCGCACGAACGACTACACCATATCTTTCGGCTCCTCAAACGGCACCCTTACATCCCGATACAGTGCGCGTCAACTCTCGATTCTCTGGCTGGTCTCATGCCTCTCCACTCTCGCCAGCATCTGCTTGATTTTCGGCGCTCTCCGCAGCCACTATGGTGCACGAAATCCAAAAAACGGCCCAAGACGGTCGGGAGAGGACAAAACCGGCGGCCTAGGAGGTCTGGTTCGCAGAACAACCGACCGATTTTTTGATACAGTCGATGTAAGTGGCACGTACCAGAAGCTCGGCGGCGACGGACGGGATGCTCTTGTCAGGGCTATATCAATTGGAGGCGAAAGTAGAAAGAATATCTCGGAGGTGGAGTTGATTGAGCAGAATGAAAATGGGAGGGATGATGGGACGGGAGGATCGCTTGTTCATGGCCCGCATCGGGGGTTGAGAGATGAAGAGGATACGAGATATGAGCCCATGAGACACCATTAATGGACTATAAAGGCTTGATATTGCATTTCTATTCAGCGGTAACTTGACGGCGATTTACGATTTCTTTGGGCGCCTAGCCTCTGCCACATATCGTGTGCTTTCCCGGATGTTCGCCGTCTGCGCTCATTCCTTCAAGTGATCAACGGCTTGGCTTGATCATAGCTGGGAGAAAGAGGGTTCCCATCTAGCTAATGCGTATGCCCTGCAAGAGAGTCGCCAGCTTCCCGAGCGGGTGGTGCAATGAGCTATGACAGCGGCGTCGAAGTCCAACGCGTGGGAGAACCGTTCCATCGTAGGAACGCCTGCTCCAGTGACTCGCCGTTGAAGATGTAGCAGGTAGGTTAGACAGAGAACGCTCGTCAGTGCGGGAGAATGCTCTCAGCCCCGCACCGTCTCCTTGCCAGTATGACGGAGCGGTGTCCCCCCCTCATCTCGTACATTGTCCTTTGCGTTGCGCTCTAGCAGCAATTGGACCAACAACGAATGGCCTCTGTCACTTGCAAGATGTCGCGGTGTTTCTTTCTTGTTGTTTCATGAGTCGGCTTCCGCGTTGTTGTTGAGCAGTAGCCATAGCACTAATTGATACTCCGTACACCGCGTAGAGTCGAATAAGAGATGCAACGCTATCCGGTCGAGTTTGTCTTTCGTCCCAAGTCACGCCTTGCCATCTTCCATCAGCAGTTGCGCCACATCTTCGTAGAGCCTTGATATAAGGCCATCTGCTCATTTCCCTTTTCTTCATCGACCTCGGTTTTATGTTCTAGAAGTAACCCGAATGACCTCGTGACGTCCCTCAAAAGCGGTTCTAAGTAAAACTTTTTACCATCATCTGTCTTTGCACAGATGTCTGCTTACATCTTTAATCACTCCTAACCATCGTAACCAAGCCAACGTCGGAAGCTAGATAGAGCAGCAAGTACATCTGCCACGCAGAATTTACGAACGACCCGAGCCATTCCATGTGCGGCCAATGAACATGCAAGCAGCACATAAGCAGACGCTTTTCACATAACCCGCAGATTTCTATATCATAGCTCGTTACTCGTTTGCGCCGAAGTCATCGCTTCTTCCATGGGAAGAACATAGATTCAGCTCAACCACAGGCCAGCGCGAGCGACGACATTGCTTGTGCTGTGCTTCGTGCCAAACTTAGCCTCTCTGGTCGGCCGTGATGGTTAAGGAGACAGCGATGTACGGGTGGTGAGATGGTCGCACAAGCGACGTCGAGCGGTGGAGCGTCGGGTGGGCGCGCAGCAGATTTTTCTCTCCTTGTGTTGCCAAGACAATCTCTCACCATCCATCTCAGCCCGGGGATCCGTCTCGTTCCTAGTAACCTAATGTAGAACTCAAAAATACAGTTTGCGCTTAATTTGCTACGTGTGTCACCAGCGTTTTGTTACAGAACTGATACGCGTTTTGCATCAGCCACGCATGTATTTTTGGTATCAGCGTTTCGCGCTATTTCGCTTGACATAGCAACTCTGTACGTATAAATGCGCGCTCCTCGCACTGAATTAGATGAAACAACTTGCTATTTCCACACTGATCCGTCGATTAGTCAGCACAGTTCATCACCTAACCATAGTGTCGCTTCCAGAAGCAGGAGAGGGACCCAGGAGGATACGCCATGTACTACCTTGGAGCATGATGTATTCTCAACAGCTGCAGTGCAGCCATATGTCACGTGCACTAATATGTTGCGCTTTCCTGTATTTAGCTCCTGTGCTTCTACATCCCAGCATCTCAATCGTCATTCGAATAGAATCAATCCAGGAGCTATACTCTTGTTCAGCGCGGCAAGATATCACATCTTTCGATCTTTATCAACTTGTGGACCTATATACATCTAGTGCACTTCCTCATATGACGACGAAGGCTGTTTGCATGGGATACATTGCTGTCAGACCCTATTTCTACGCGTTACCCTTGCGGTTTGCCGCTGCAATTTGTACTTATTTCTGCGCGCCCTGCGCCTTTTTGAGAGAGAACAGAGCCATTTTCTTCTACCTGTTTGACAATTGCGATATGTCATTTAATTTCTTTCCAAACCATTGCGGAAAGGATACCCGCTACAATTTCAAAAGTTGGCCGGCGGATTCAGATCTAGGAGTGATCGAAGTAAACCTTCGTTTTCTTTGGCAGCATAGTTAGAGTATTGCATTATACTAACTTGGACATGGAAGGTCGTTAGTGCGTTTTGTGTTACCTCAATTGGTACTCTCGTTGCGATGGTCGTCGTTGGCTATGTCTTTGGATTGGTTGGAGATGAGGGGCCGTATGGCCTTCTGAATGATCTGGATGTTCGAGTCATTCATTGGAGCAAACGCTTCTACGGAAAACACGAAAATCCATCTCTACCCAACAAAACAATCAACAAAAATCAGTTTGCGTAATGCTCTTGAGCGCTTCGTGCTCACACTCCGCGATCAGCAAATGGTAACTGGATTGGCGATTTGCATCATCTGCTATTCTAAGCACTGCTACATGTCAAGCTATCACTTCTTTGTCATTATAGCCTTAGCCTGGTTTTCTTCGAGAACACCACCTTTCCACTTTAACACCACTGCAGCATTACCTGTTCCAACATCCAGGGTTGAAATACACTCGACTCGTTGGGATATTCGCGCTCTACGTGATGCTTTCTGACAGGTTGCTGGTTTTGTATACCTCCCGACCATTCCAAGTTCCGATTCAATGCCGTTTCGAGTTTTTATCTTTATCCGGTAATAATCGATTGAGCTACCTAACGGCGATTTTGCTCTTCTTCTTACCATCACCTACTTATTCAAATTGGTGAATTTGTGCTTCCCAGGATATAGCAGTCCTATGAAGCTTGTGTTCGGGAATCAGCATGGCGGCATCAAACTTCAGACATCAGACATCAAGCGACGTTATCACTGAACGCCATGTCAGATGGTGGGCAGAGACTGGCTCTGATGAATTGGACAACGTCACCGACACCTTTTTTTGATCGTCCAGGCACAGCATTGAGCGGTAGCCGTCTTGCTGAAAGCACATTGCCTGGAGTGCTGAGCACGCACCACAATGGGTCACCAGATCCTGGTCAAGCCTACATATCAGAAGTCGACTTTGGGACCCATCCTTCTAAGCCATTTAATATGGGTGATGCCAATCCAAAATCAGTTCAAATCTGTCCATGGATCTCTACGGGCCGGGATGGATGGCGATCCTTTACAGGGTGTCCACTCAATTCAATTTAGTCAAATCAGTCAATTCAATCCCTTGGCAAATCAGTCAATTCCGTGCCTCAGTCAATTCAATTCGGCATCTGTTGAATTGTCAATTCAGTCAATCTGTACGTGTAGAAGACAATTGGGCCAATTTTGAGCTGAATTGGCTAATAATTGATATAGAAATCAACATAATTAATAGAGCTATATTTTTGCTTAATGCTGATGTTAAGCTTCTTACTTAGTTTAGTAATATATATACATAAGAAATTAATATTATTAAATAATCTAAATGCCTCTGAAGTTAGTATAACAACAAGCTTATTAGAGATACAAAGAGTAATAAATATAATCAATAAGCTTTATTCAAGTGCTAACAGCTTAAATACAGCCATATCTTCCTCCTGAGCACCTTATGTTTCTCCTCCTCGCCGCCGCCAAAGTAGAAATAGCGCATATCCATACAAGTTGACTGAATTGTCAGATCAGTCAATTCAATTCAATTCGAGGGCGCTGATTATGTAATCAATTCAATCCGGGGCCTCGAATTGACTGATTTGAATTGATGGATACACTGATCCTTTACCTTCAGCAGCAGTTATCCCCATATTCATTGGGCTCCTCCTGTACACTCTTGCAACGCTAACTGTCGTCGCGTGGTACGTTGCTTACACCAATGATTAAAGTACCGAGGCCGGTATAGGGGTGGCCTTGACTATGGCCGGAAATTATTGATCGTCGCCCTGGGGCCTATGTGGGAGGAACATCAACACCTCGCAGGATCTTGGCTGGCATGTCGCCGCGCTCATCGACGTCATGACATTAATACAGAAGCCTCACGATTGAGGATCCAGAGGGATTCATGTTCACTCCCACTAACTACGTCCATGTGTGTACGTTCTTTAGTGTTTGCCATGTAGGTGTGAACCTTCGCTGGTTTCTTATCAATGAAATCTACCACCTTGACTCCTATCCCCATATAGATTATCATCATAATATCATTCTGGTACTGTCATGGTACCGTCCATGAGGTGGCTGTGTTCCATCGCAACGGTGCGGTAGACCTGTTCTCTACATCGGTACCATATGGTGAATTATAACAATATGCTGTTTACAAATGCTTCAAGAGACAGTAAGCCTGATCTAGAGATTGCTTACTCAGATCCCAGTTTTATCGTATAATAGTCACCGTGAGCTTGCCGGTATCAAGCCCAAACATCAATGTTGATAAAATTCGTCGTGTAGTAGTACAAGATTCAATAGCTTCATCCAGTAGCATTCCCAGTCCAGAATCCATAGGTCCCAATGTGGACTATCGTACACTAGCATATCCTTTCATGATTCATGTGCATCCACATGCTCTTACGCTCAAAGCGCCATCCATCCAACAAGTCATCAAATGGCCACGTGAAGCTCGCCTCCAACCACTTACAACGCAACTCCTGGTGTATCAGGTGACAGTCTTTCACTGATCACGCTCATCTCCATGTCTTTCATGATTCCTCCCAAATTGCCATGTCCATCGCCTCGCTTTTCCAGTTCTGCCGCCTCTATCTCTTCGTAACCTCTCGTACTATATATCTGATACGGATCTTTCGCCTTACCCTTTGAGCCTCCGGTGCGACGTCCAATAATGGATGCTGATAAGCCCTTGACTGGATTGGTTGACTTGGAGGAATTACTCTCAGCGGCCTTGCTACGAAGATGTCTGTAGAAGGTTGGAAGGATAGGCAGACAGGACACGATGATTCCAATGAATTGCTCGGCAGCGCTGCATCGTATTGTCAGCATACATTTACCTAACCTGCCTGTGTGATGGTGAAATCATGTGCATACTTAACCAGAAGGACGATAATAATGATAATGGTCTTATTTGGCCGTCTGGCGAAGACAGCTTGATAGGCCAGCCGGGCGACGCTGGCAAGCACACCGCTATTAAATTTGTCAGTCTGCTCCGTGTACCTACAAGCATTACCATGAAGCATCATTACTTACAGGAATCCGATCGCGAACACGGCGGAAAGTCTCCACTTCTTTTCCGAAGGCATGCGTAGTCCCCAGATCGCAACGACTGGAATGATCAATATCATGAGGTCCGTGGTCACATTGATGACACTGGCGCAGATCAAGACAGCAAATCCATTCACACATTCTTTGCCTGCTTCAACAACTGCCCTTTTCCCTGTGCATTGAAACGCGACTGAAAGCACAAGTGCGATGGCGTAGAGCAGGTTCCACCAGAAGACGAACCAAATCGCCCACCAAACTTTGGTTCGGCGCGATCCTTCGACGACAAAGAGGCGATGGAAGAGAAGGAGGATTGCTGCCTTGGTGAAGAACATGCCTACCCGGGCAATAATCTCTAGATTGTGGAAGAGCTATTACGCCAGTTATCGTCCACAGCATTTAAGCTTTTGATGGATTCCGAGAGCTACTGCTAACCTTCGTGAACTTTTTGTAGTCTGCTTTGGAGACATTCCAAAGATCTTTGCAGCCTCCGTAGTTGATTGACTGCAGGAGCATGCCAGTGTATGGAATCAGAAATATCCATGCGAGTAAGCAGGTCCCTAGATAGGAAGAACCAAAATGTTAGACTGATCAAGCCAGAGTGCTTAGGTACTGAATCTGGGCGTACAATCGTCCCACCACAATTTTCGGTGTATGCGGTGTCGAGTGTACATGCGAATGGCTAAAATGGGCGCCGACACAACAATCGCAAGCGTCATACAAAGAATAGGAGGCCATGTCTGAGAATGAGTATGTCTGAGGTCCGAGTGCTGGCCAAGGGGCGCTAGCATCGCCGGTGTAGTATTTGGGTCCGCATTTGTAGCCGCCATGTTGAGGGAAGTTCTGGAAGAATGACAGGGCAAGTCTAAAACCCTTGAAGTCCTTAAAAGGAAGAACACTATTTCAAGGTTGCATCACTTCAAAGACTGAAGGCTTGATAGCACCTTTATTTCTTAGAGCTCAAGCAACACAAGATGAATAATATTGAAAAGAAATAGAGCATAAGCTGCAGGATCTCCTCGGAACCACAACCAGAGCCTATTTCAGCTAAGGCCTGCAGAGCAGTGTAGCAGGCCTCATCAAGAAATATCCGGGCCCCAAGGCATTCTGGCCCCCAACGCGTCCATCGGCAGAAGCATTTGTTCCTTACTTCCGCATGGCATTGTCCTGCAAGAGTAGCCGAATCTGCATATGAGCTCAAGGGACATGTGGCCATCCTCAATTGGGCGGATTCAGAGTGAGTAGTGCGACATATGAAGTTGTTCAAAAAAAAACTGATATTGTGTAGATTTAGCACACGAAATTGCGTACCAAAATCTATGTTGTGAAGTCGTTACGGAGTCGTGCATCAAAGTCTTCAATAGCAATTAGCTCTTCTTGAACTAGTGCCGAGTCAGGAGGTTGTGGGAAAGTGGTGACGGTTGAAGGGCCCATACTAGTACGTAGACAGGATTGGCGGCCGTCTTGGCTCCTGCATATCTGTCACAAGAAATGGGACTATCTAGGCGCAAGAGTCGGCCTAGAACAGCCCAATCATTATGACGCTTTTGATTCGCCCTGACGGCCACCAATTCTGTCTCTCGGCCTCCGCAAAATGGCTAAAGCTTAGCTAGCTCGGGCGGAGTAGACACGGACCGGAGGACCGGAGTCAACCTACGGTATTGGCGTCGATCTTCTGCACCCAAATTATGTTTCTAGAGCCAAACTGATGAGGCGGCCTCGGAGGTGATCAGGATGGACGGCGGTACCAGTAGTCTAGGGTCGGCCTACCCCTGATAGTGTGTAATTTATGCTAGTGCTAGAGTCTGGCGGGCTTGTGCCAGTAGCGTTTTAATCTTAGCATGTACAAAGACTTTTGATGCAGCACTCATAAAGAAGGGACTGCCTGAAGGCGCTACTGTCCCTCTCAATCCATCCAGAGTGTAAAGGTGTGGTTGGGCGCGCTGACTATGTAAGGTGATGCGCTACGGACCTGTTTGGAAAGTGACTGCAGGTTGATCAGGAGACGTTGCATGCAGTGTCACAGTAAGCTTGGATGAACCTCAAGCGAGAGGTATGAAAAGTAACCACAAATGTAGATATCTAGCGAGAGTAATGCCCGGGGGTCACTAGTAAATCTTGTCATAACATGAAATGACATCATTTTGACATGTCTATTTGCATCCTTTCTCTATGACCATCATGAGGTACAAATATTACGAAGGCTTCTGATATGCCCTGATTCATCATTTACTCCAGTGGAGGCATTCTGAATTCAAGAAAGCTTTTGTAAAGTCTGGGAAGAGGATGTATCAGTTATGATAGCACGCAGATCTCCTGATGCCCGATTGACATTACTTGCGCCAGGTACCATGGCACAAGGGGATCTATAAATATTGGCAGGCTCGTGAGAGTAGCAGCCAGATGTGTCCATCTGGTAGTACCCAATGAGCCGCCATGCTTTCACAGGCCAAACACCCTGCTTCTGCATCATGAGCTGGCTCTTCTGCATTATTTATAGCGTGAATATGCCACGTTTGAGTTCAGAGTCAGCCAGTGAAAAGAGCCTGTCCTCGACATGGAGCAGGCAAACCACTTAATATGTCATTCGCTGTAAGTGCAGTTACAAGCCGCCCTAGCCCCACATGATGCACATGCAGCTCTCAATCTCGTCATTGCTTGTACAACCTACACAGGGAGTGCCAGAATTGATTCGCGATTTAGCCGAGATTCAGATATTCAATGCACCATGTACACGCATCTAAATTTCGGCTAAAAACGCAAGCGAGACCCCTCCTCTGTGTGCCTTGCGTATCTATAAAATTACTCATTCCTCTAATTGGCCCGGGTTTGAGAGAGTTGTGTTGTTGCTGGCATCCAATCTTTTCAACCTTCATCCGCAGGAACGTACCACTCTTCCAGATTTTTGTTGAAACATCCTTGAAAAGATCATACTGCATCGACCCAGCAGGCATTTTGGAGCCAGCAGACGAAAGTAGAAATAACACTTCACACAACCATGCTCGCTTTTGCCGCTCTTCTGCTGCTCCTCCCACTTGGGCCCCTCCTCCAGCTGCAATTTACATTGGCCGCAAAATCCGTACCGAGGGCCCTCAACATCACCACTATTGCTGCCAACCCCCAAAAGGAGTCGATTCTCGAATGCTGGCGTTTGACTGCGCCATTGCTTGAATCTTCAGTACCTGGTACCTCAGGCGCCGTATTTGCACAACTGGGACAGGGGAATGCGACGAGCTATGGCCTGATTCCACCACGTTTCGATGGGGGGCTGCATAATGCGCCTGCGATACAGTGAGTGTGACTTCTGCTCGGAACTTGTAGCGCCCAATTTTCTTGAGTTGTGAGTACTGACCACCGTGCTGCAGATGGGTCGTATTTACCGCCGGCGAGGCTGTGATCTCTTTTCCCAATTCATCAGCACAAGCTACCATACACGGTGGAAGGAATGGTCTGATACTCGCAGCTGACATTGCTAGCGTCAGTACCTACGGTCACATCACCATGTATCCAAGCAATCAGGAAACAGTTGCCATCCAAATACCATTGGAAAACAACATCGTGCCCGATCATACAGTGTTGTATGAAGGTCCTTGTAGGAAGAGAGAGCAGGACAATTACAAGCAATGATAGAGGTCGTACAAGCTGGAGTGTTGGTGATAGACATGTCCTATGGTCCAAAATATCAAAAGCACAGCCGATGTATATAGAGCTCGTGATATTCAAGGCGATAGTGCTGGTCGCAAATAGCTTGAGAAAAAAGTCAAGTACGCTTGAAATTGCGAATAAGGCTCATTGAGAGGAGAATATGACAAAAGATCATTTGCCCTATAAATGACAAAGTCGCAGCCTATGGTACGATGCTCTATTGGAGTCTGTCATGAAAATCAGATTCGTGTACAAAATGAAGCCTAAGAGCAAGAGGTGACAGGATCAGCTCTTGCCTGTAAAAGCGCTCTCATTTTAAACATGATAGATCTTGCGGCGTCACTCAGAGCTTTGTGAGTTGATTGGCCACAGATAGAGTACCGAAAGGGTTATCATTTCTCAATATTAATCCAATTAGATTACAGCAGAACTCTGGATTTTGGGACATAGGACACTGATTCGGCGGTCTTTGACACCCGTTGCACTCTGTGGTCATGTGATCCGTAATGCTCTTTCTATCACATTTATCTTCACTAGAGATACAGTAACTCATAGAACTCTTTTAGACCATCAAGTTCACATTTACGTCCTTCAAAAGAGTCGCCCAAGTTTGACTCATTGGCCTTCAATGTGGCAGAATCCTTTATATTATCTTCCTTATCTAGTAGTAAGTACTAGTATCTGTCACAAATCCTACCTCATATACACGCAGCTGGAACACACGCTGAACACATCCGTTAATATACGTACTCTCCTCTTACTACCTGAGCCATCGACTGATTTAGTTCTAATGGTTGCCACCCTGTGTTTGTTTGAACCCTGCCTCCACATTCCATTTGTTGATTTCGCTCGCACTCCACCATCAACCGGCTCCACCCCCTGCCCTCTCCGAAACGACGCAACTCTCCCCAACCAAAGGTTGGTGGGCTGTCCCATCAAGCTGCCAAGGCGAATCTATCACTAGAGCCGGAATTCCACGTCAGCCAACAGATTAATAACACCAATCAATCATCTATCCAACTTCGTTTTTCTCTCCACAGGACTGAAAAGAAAGAGATCTTTCATACTCATTCGCAGCCTTCTTGTCATCCTTCTTGTTTGGGTCGAAACCGTCCTTATTATCCTTCTTCTTTGGGTCTTTTTTGTCGTCCTTTTGGACGGGTTTGGGTTTTGGATCCTTCTTCTCTGGTCCGGAGTGAGGCATTATTGTTTGTGGATAGTATTGAACCCGATTTTTTATGGATGTGCAAGGACGTGGGAATGGAATGAAATCGAATTGGAGTTTCTCGAGTGATGGGAGATACAATACATCCAGATGGGCATTTTAAGAAGAATATATATCTTCCGTATGGACAGAGTAGTAGCTCGCCGCCAAGTCTGATTCCGCTCGAGCGGATCGAACACAGACAAAACAAGTTACAATCAGGGGCTGAATTAGTCAAAATAGCTGTGATATCAGTCTCTCAGCAGTTGGTGGCGGCCGCGGTAGGATTAGGGGAGTCATTTTAATATTGTTGCAGCGGATGTTGGAAACTCCTCTTGTAACAGTTGGGTGATCGGCCTGATGGTGGTCAGCGTGGCCCATAACTAAGTTAGTAAAGATGTGTAAGAAGTTAGGTTAGCATATGGCTGGTGAAACAGTACTTGTAAGGGGCGGCCGTAATTATTAATCTAAGAAGGCTTCTTCTGCCGCCTCTTATAGTTGTAGACTGACGTGGCATAATCACATTAAGCCAGCTTACGTCATTACTAACTATGCGGACTTGTTTTGGAGGCAATCAGCTAGTAACTCATTGTCATTACAAACCTCAGATTTCACCAGTAGACATTAGCATTACATAGTGAACAGTCAATTTAGTGTGATCTCTAACGCAAGAGCAAAAGTCAGTGCGAAGATTTTGGGTCAAACGAAGGGCTATGGGGTAATATGGATGGGAGAGTGACACTGGTGGGCGATGCGGCGCATATTATGACTATGTGTAAACCTCTTCGCCGATTTCCAATTCCTCTCTTCTTCTTTGCTTTATGTTTAAAGAGGTACATCAACACCGAAGCACCAACCACAATGGTCAGAGTCGACAGCGCCAACCACGGCATTACCGATTTCCCCTCTTGCTCAAATTTCTCCTACCCTCACTAAAACCTCCGTCATCCTCATCATCGTCACCACTACTATCATCATCTTTCAAAGACGACGTTGATGCCTACGAGCGTGACATGGTACGCCGCACAGCGTTAGCTGCCTGAACAGTCGTCGCGCATGTCTGGATGCGCATGATTGTCAGAGAATCGATAATCTCTCGTCTCAAGATAGGCCATGGTGATATTCGAAGAGAGGCCATGGCTTAAGGGAACTTGCGTGACGTGTAATTCTCTTTGAATGGTTGGCTCCTCAACAATGGATCCTGGGAGACTTTTCTATCTCCAAGTTGCAGAGCATCGTTCATGAATTGGTTGACATCAAATTGCTCGGCACATTCATGCTGCTGGAGCTCCTGAATAGCATGAACAAGCCAAGAAACACAGTTCTGGACAGGGTCGGTGTTGTCTTGGGGAATAGGAATGCGGCGCAGCATTTGGTCGACATCGCCGGAGCCGATATTTTTAGGAAGCTTGCCAATCATCACTTGGCCAAGAATAGCACGACTCTGGCGCATATCGGCTTCACCTCTATAGAAGTATCCCCAGCCGCCAGAACCAGGTAGGTTGGAATAGGCATCCTGGTACTTGACATCGTACGTGGATCCCTCCCCTTCGCTACTCTTCGGCATAACGAGGATGGCCCAATGATAGGCGGCGTGTTGATATTCTTGTCTCAAGGCAGGTTCATTGGATATGCCTTGTCGAAAGTAAAGAGCAACATAGACTCGATCTTTGTTGCTCATGTTAGAGATCACAAATTCGAAGCAGTCTTTGTGTGCAATGTGCAATCCTGTAAGATATTTCACATGGGAGGGTGGCTTATTTCGAGACCTTTAAGTAGTATCTTCATGACTTACCCAGCCTTCCTGTGCCACAGTCTTGCGACAGGTGGGATCGCAGGCTGAGATATTTTGACACGTTGGTCAGCTTGATGACAGTCATATCGTTGATTTTGGGGGCCACATCGTGTTAAGTCCATCCTTAGTTGCCAGGTTTAGCGCCGGCCACTGTTGGCCACCTAGCCAACACGCGCTATACCAAGGAGATTTTCTCGCCAGGCTCACAATACAAGTTGATTGTTCGCCCCATTTCATGCCTGACGGCTAGGGGCCATTCTTGTTGCAATTGTGGGGCGCCGTATGCCAAGCACTACCATATTGAAGGGCGGTAGATGTGTCCCCTTTGTGGCACCGAAAAATTGTGGGGTTAGTGATGTTAAGTATGGAAAGCTTATAAGGTTTTGTCTTTCAGAGGCGCATATCTGTGAAATTTTTCCTATTTGGGCTAAAGAATATCAGTAGGAGTTCACCACTTGCATAAATCTTAGCCAGATATACTTCAACGTTTCATTCTATTCAAGCCTCGTTGAAGCTAACTTGTAACTTTCGGCCGATCCCTTATTCTGAGCATTACGGAGCTCTCGAGCCCGGATGGATATGCTCACGGTTACATGATAGACAGAGTTCGTTAACACGGAGGGAAGGTTTGCCAACCTTCACCTGTCTCCCACCTCTACAATGCCATCACAGAGGCACTCTCCATGGCTTCGGCTGCGCATATGGGCGGGTAAAAAGATATACAAACCTTACGTTTCACCCCAAGTCCTGCGAATTGGGTTTGGCCAAGTGCTCAAGCGGAGATGCCACCCAGCTGAAGTCCAAACCATGGAGTATATCCATCAGCACACAAGCATTCCAGTACCGAGAGTGATTAGGATCTATAGACAAGAAGGCACAGAGCGTGAAGATATTATCATGCAGCACGTCAGTGGCGAACCCTTGGCCGTAGCTTGGCCGAAGATGTCTGAAGCCTCGAAACAGGCTGTCGTAAGAGAACTTGCAGGATACGTTGAGCAGATGCGCCAGCTAGTCCCACCCAAGCCCGGTTTTGTGGGCTCAGTATCCATGGGCAGCGGCTATGATCATCGTTTTGGAGGAGACCGATTCGGACCTTTCGAGAGCATGGAAGATTTCCACGCGTATATTCTCCGACACAATTCCTTGGATGCTTGGAAGGAGGAGACCGATGTGGTTCACGTGCACAGCAATCCCAGCGTTTATGCCACTAGATTCACGCATGGAGACCTCGTGCCAAGCAACATAATAGTGAAGGACGGAAAAATCGCCGCCATCATCGATTGGGAAACAGCGGGATGGTTTCCGGAATACTGGGAATACACCAAGATTCGTTATCAGTGGCGCCCATACCGAGAAGGATACTACGAGGCGATGGATCGCGTATTGGTAACATATCCGGTGGAACTCAGGGCCGAACAAGCCATCTGGAAACGATATGACTGGTACGCTTATGAGCTGCCTCAGGAAAGAGCGAAATGATGGATTCTGCCGCCTCTGCCTCTCTCGCAGCGTCCTCTTTCCTCCGGTGGAGCAACACAAGAGTCTAGCCGTTATTAGTCGGCGTCTACTGCTGTAATGAAAACCGGAATATACCACCTTTCTCAGCCTCAACGTGGTCCATCACGACCTTCTCAGCAACCCTTGAGATCTCGGCAGGCTCTAACCGGAGCAGATTTGCGTCAAGTAGCTCCAATAAGAGCACAGCTCCTAGGCGGTCAACAAAATCGCACAATTCAGGAACCCTCACTCTTGCTTCTTGGACTGTTAAAGGTCATGACGTTGCGATCCACTATCTTCCATATAACAAGCAAGCCTTGCTACGCTGGCGCGGCTCTCCTTCTCGCTCCTCCAGCCCTGGGCCGCAAATGGCGGCCCTTGCTCCCCAATACCCCCAGCCTGCATTGCCCGGCTGGCTGATACGACAAGAGCGGAAATTCTTCTGGCTCACCAATCATCTAGCTTTTAGCCAGCGATATGCCAAGCGGGACTGTTTGTTTGGTGGGTTGGTTATGGCTTGGGTATCGCGGCGATGTCAACGATCTGGGCTTTGCCGCTGCTGCTTGCTCTTCATTGACACTTGAATAGGACAGGAAAGGGCCTTGTTCTACCTTGTGAGGCCTCACTGTGGTTTGTCATTGTGCTTGTCTCGATTTGCATGATTACGAGACGATTTACCGGTGGAATACCGCTGATGCCGAAGGGGGTGAGGATGATGGACAGGCGAAATAGAAACTGGGTAGCTAAGGGAGAGCCCCATCGTTCTGCGCTTGAGCTACAGCAAAATTATGGTGATGGATCATTGTTTCGATAAAATGTATATATATGTGCTACTATGTATGGGCAGGGTGTTGACAAGACGTAACTAAGCTACGTGCAGAGAACATGAAGCACATGACGGATCAGTTCACCATCAATCTCGGCATTGAACTAAGCCGCTGCAGCGTCTGAACACTCGCTAGAGCTCCTCGCCGTGATCCTTGACGCTACGTTGGCTTGGGTGAGCGTATCCTCTTTCACGCTAAGCCGTCCGTATTCGACAGCTCCTCATTCCTTGTCCCGCTATCAATTTTATGTTTCGTGGTGCCAACCCATATAGTATGGCCGTGGCTGCGATTTTCCTTACCTTGTATGAAATACGGCAGAGTTCCTGTCCTCGCAAAACTCCTTTCCGCCACACTCAATCCAGCATCTTCCCCACTCTTACAAATGTACAAAACAAATCACTGCAGGCAGCCAGAAGCAACAGAACCGTGAACATAACCATCCAATCATTCAGAGGCCCAAAAAGCGCTGGGATGGAAACAACATGCTTCTGCTACCCTGAAAAGAAAATATGGGAAACCAGATCGAGAGATGTGATACAGCGAAGTTAATGGCCCTGTAGATCATATGGAGGCCGCCAGAACCACTAATTGCCGACGTTCATAGTCTGCTCAAACTTCATCTGTATGTCATGCTGCGGAGCGGAGGAGGGGTGAGGAGTAAAGGTGGCCTGAAGCGTGCTCGAGATGCCTTCGAGAGGGATGTTTTGGCGCTGCGAATGCCGGTCATCCAGGATAAAAAGTTGAAGGCAGAAGAGAGTTTCACAATCGAGCAGGCCCGGGAAATGACTCAATTATTCTTCGACGAAGTCATTGGCCATCAAGGTCTCGACCGTGATGTCAGTCTGATCAACGTCAACAACAGCCACGAGAGGAGGGAGCTTGACGTGGGTGCTGGTGCTCGGGCGGAACGTCTATCCGTCAATCTGTCCATCCCTCAGACAGTTCGTCGCTTCTTTGGTGCCTTCGACAATGCCGAGGCCAAGAGGGTGAGTACGTCGACCAACCTTCACCAGCTGATGACCATGAGAACCAACCTGACACTGAATCAGAAATGGGAGAACTTCAATGCCGAAGCCGAGGGGGGCAATCTTATGATTCGCAGACTTCTCACGGAGCAAGGATTCACCACCCGGCAAGGGGTGACCTGGAGCTCCTGCGTCTTTCAGTGAGGAGGGCTCCAGCCGCTCGGATTTGGTGCATCTTTGGTTACGGGATCCACCTGAGAATCGGAAGTAGACGATATCAATGACGCTTGTGTGGACTCCTCATTTGCCTGCAAGGAGGACACCACGGCCGTTTCTGGAAGCGTTGCAAGCGACTTCGGTGTCAGCGGAAGACAACTTTCCGAGCGCTTGAAGAGCTCCAAGACGTCTTTTTTGAAGGACTCGGCATTCGGACCTAGTCCCCATGTGTGTATGGCGTTGCTCCATGTTACATACTCCTTCAGGTCACGGACAGTTTTCAAATTGCCCATAGCCAGAATCTGAACGGAAAATCCGACCTCGTCGCAGCGTCCTTCCCAGATTTCGAAGCCACCATCGAGCAGGACGATGGAATAGTGCCGTAGATCTGCTATGCCCAATTCCAGGTCTTGTCTCATTGCCCGTCGCTGATAGAGCCAAATAACGGAGGCGCAAACATTCTGGTTGATGGCGTGGCTTTTCTTGCCACCTTTCTCCCCGCACTTGTACTCGATGGTCAGATATGGGGATGATCCTTCGTCCTCTGCGAGCCAGTGATTAAAAGGAGCAGACTGCAATCTCTTGCGCAACAGGGCGTCAAATTGGTTTATCGAGACTGCATAGGTAACATCTGGTTCAACATCCCAATCGAAGAAGTACAGGTTGCTCTGAATTGTGGGCCCGGGTTTATGAGGCCTCCAGCGATCTTTTCGCAGTGATAAGGTCTGGACTGGTCCTTGCGGGCTAGGCACATCTTCATCAACAAGGAGTTTCTTGGTATATGTGACGCTAAGGGTATGTTCATTGTCTCCCCTCCTCTCGTACTCCATAAATTGTTGTGCTATCCTCCTCAACTCAGCCTTGTCAAAGTTCAGGAATGCACCCATAGAAGCGATCTCGGATGGCTCGCCAAACACTGCGACAGGCGTAAAGTCCTCTTCGGGAACAATATATATCTTCTCAATGTTGCAAGGTTGTAGTATGTTCTCTTGGAAGCCGGCATCCTTTGGACCAACGTATATCCGTCCGTCTTCGCGTTTGCGCTTGCTACTGGAGGCCCTCGAGACCTCGGACTGCGTGGTAACGCTAGACTTTCGAGGAGCCATGGATTTTTCAGAAGGCTCCGGATCCTCCTGCGACGCACTGGCGGCCTGGCAGTACCAGCAAGGATGATGGCAGACGGAACAAAGATGAATTGGTTCTGGGTCGGCAGCAGGAAGATGATCAAGGACGGATGTAGTAGTTGCCCGTTTTGGAACGCGTTCTGAGGAGGAGAATGAAGCTTTGCGTTTGATTCCTGCCATAGCTGGCGACGTTGATCCATTTTCTAGATCGTGCGAAGAGTCCATTTTGGCTGCGCCTTGCCTGTTCCATTAGTGCAAGGGACGTGGCTGTGAATGCTGAAACGCAGGACCTCACGTGTGAAGCAGATTCTTCGGCATCGAATCATCCGAAGAGCGCGTGTTGCCGGAGATTGAGCATCATGAATTCATAGGCATCGGTCGCTCTGAGTTGAAACGTTAGCGGAGTCTGATTGAACAAAATAAACGCAGTGCCAGGAACGCCTTGTGCCAAGACTTTTCATGACCGCAGAACTTAAGTACTCCGTATGACTAAGTAGTTAGTACTACTACTACTAATCAACGAGATAGGTCCAATTAGCTAGAAAACCTGGTCTTTCCACTGCGGAACAATATTGCTTCGGATCGCAACAGGCAGACTGTATCCAGCAGCCTAACAATGACCCCATTCCTTGGCTGACATCCGGTATGGCCTACTTGGCGGCTACTTTCGCGTCCAATGTTCATGCTTCTCTCCATGCCCATAAGTCATCCATTCATCTCGCCTCTGATCGCTCTTCTCAACCACCTTCCTTTCCTCAGCTCCCTCGCCCATAAACCTCCAGCCCGCGTGTTGCCAGGTGCCTTGAAATATCAATCCCGGATGCCACACCGTCAATAACCCTACCGCAATCACGATCATACCACCCTCCAAACCCATAAAAGTAACCTGCTGATTCGCCAACTTACCTCTAAACCCTTCTCTCAACTCCGCACACCGAAATACAGACCTCACGAAGACCGCCAGTGGTGCCAGACCCAAACGCTGATAAGAACAACCTGAACCGCCTAGTACGCCTAAGGGCCACAAAATTAGTCTCCGTACTCAGATCCCTTTCTCCTGCTTTGCGGATCCTCCAAGCAAACTCCCAGGAGAATATCCCAAGCAGCCCTAGGCTAAAGACCTGCCAGCTGACGCCGGCAACCATAATATCGATTCCCATCTTGCGCATCTTGTCCTCATCCTTCTCCTCGTCAACATTATCGGCAAAGGAGGCGATAGCTCCACCAGCGGCTTGGAGAAGTAGAGCAATAATGTCGCACGTGACGAAAAGGAAAGCATAGGTGCGTGGCTTGAAGCGAGAGAGGGTGCAGGAATAGATGGGGATAATGCGGGAGATGGCCAGGTAGATGGACGCGGAGAGGAAGGCTGGGGCGATGTTTAGGGTCATGAGATACCTGTCGCCTCGTCAGAAACTGGGGGACATAAATGAGGTCGATGAATTTTGGACGGGAGAGAATGTGAATAAAAGAAAAAACCTCACGTGCATGAGAATGGGACCCTTTTGGAAGGGATTATAGTGCATTTGGATCCGTGCATTATAGTCAACAATCTCAAGGACAATTCCGCCGAACATGCCGAGGAGGAACCCCCAATTGCGGTGATGGATGCCAAGGAAGAGTTGGCCGGTAAGAAAGGCGCCAAAGAGACTGGCATACAGCGCATTTCCGACGAATGACGGCACATATTGTATATTGGCAAGCGACAGGGGGCAAGTGGAGAGGGTGCAGAATTCGCCTGGATTGGCAAGGACAGAGGGGGACAAATTTTCGTATGAGGTTGAGCTGGCCATATTACAACGTATGCGAGGCAAGAACAATGATAAGAGTGAGATGGGATTGAATGGTTGTTGCGATGCTTGCTAAGCGCAAGGAAGACAGAACAATAGGAGTATAATTCGGGAATGCAAGAGAACAAAGAGGGTTTGCCGCGCAAGATGCCCAAGAGAACTTGTGGGAACATACTGAGATAAGCATTTACAGAGAGAGGCAAAGGAAAACATCAGCTGTATAGATTTATTGGACATCCATGATAACTTGCTTTGATGGATAAATTCGCATGGCCTCTTTTCTCTCCATAGAAGGGTTTGCCATCAACCGCACTATAAGGACTCTCCCCTGAAGGATATTGAAAAAATAGAGCATTCGGTAGAAACTTGCTAGGGTAATCTTCTTCAAAGTCACGGCAGGTTTGAGAGAGCCAAGAATAGTTGCTTCACGAGGAGTGGAAAATGATTTGTCAACTTCTGTAGCAATAGAAGGTCGAGTCCGGTGTCTCAAGCTGCTGTCTGGTTGTAGTGCGAGCTGGACACTCAAGGCTTTGAGAGACTCATTTCTCGTCGTCACATTCTCGTATTTCACCCGGTATTGAAGCAAGAAATGACAAGCTGCATGGTATGAAGAGCTGAAAAGAGACGAGAGACCGACTTGAAAGTTGAGTCAGATGCCAAGAAATCCAAATCATAGCCAAGGCTTGTCCCACTGCCCGCCTAAGGGCTCAACACACATCAGCGGTGTTCCACTTCACAAAACACAAAACACAATGCTTTATACTTTATTATTTGACACTTATTTTCAACTTCTGGGCCCATGGTGTAGTTGGTTAGCACTGTCCAAGTTGTCACAATAGCAGGTCATAGCCGGAATCGTACCCGGATCTGTGTGGCTCGTAGGTACCAACAGTGTTAACAGTGGCAATTTGCTCATTAACACATCGGAAACAAAAAATCCTCCTTGGAGGGTTTCTCCTGGACTCCTCGACCCATCACCACAAAAATAATGTGGCTGGTGGTTTGGGAGTTCCAAGGTTTTTGATTTTTTGATTTTTTGGGATTTGGTTTGTCTTCTGGCTTGCGGTCACGTAGCTATAATAACCATGTTGTTGGACTTGATAAACTACTAGAATGCTGACGAGCAGGTGAATATGACGCGAAGCTGGACTCATGTAACGGCAAAGGCGATTCCCCGCCAACATCCTCCCTAACGCCACAGGATTGTCGCCATCCCCCTGCCAGCGGACTCGTGAATCCTCCCAGCTTGGTGTCCTAGTCGTCCATTCTATCATGATTGCTCATTCATCTTGGACCTTGACCAACCAACATCCATGTCAACATCTACAACTTGAAGATAAGATTAACGCAGCATTCAGCAAGCACGAGGCGACCAAGGAGGTGCACTCTACAGGGTTACGGCGATAGGTAGGTGGAGATCACAGGTGGAGATCACGTTTGCATTGGGGGAAGCAGCACGGCAAGCACGACAGAGTGAGCAATGGCTGCAGGAGCCACGATTCCGCGCGGCATGCACACTGAGAGAACAGTATTATCTACTCAAAGGTGGATCGCGTCAACCGATTAGCATGGGGACATTTATTCCGAGGTCTTACCAGATCGAGGTCGCAGAGTTAACATTTCTCAGCAAGAGCAAAGCAACTGGAAGTGTTCTATCCTTCCACCGTTGGCAGACATTTCCAACCCCCAGAATGAGGTTCGTTTGTGGATGCAAGAAACGTAGGCCAGGATCTTGAAAAAGGGGATAGAAATTGGTCCAGCTATAAAGCAGTTGATTCAACAACTCGACACCAGTCGCGCAAAATCGATTCGCCCAGGCTTGACAGACATAGCTCTCTTCGCTAAGCCGTCTTGTCGAAAATTGTTCTTAGCTGAGGCATGCGGTCTTCATATGGAAAGACAACCTGTTGACTATGGTCTACGAAGGGGTTAATTGAAGCACGCCGACGCCGTTTGACGAGTAGGCTCCGAGCAGTTGGTAGCAATCGGTCCAAGCGCTCAAACAACGCTCCAGAACGACCATGCCATCCCGAAATGCGACAACCCCCCGGCCCTGTCTGTACAATTTGGACTGATGCACTGGCGGCGTTCTCAACCAGTAGGGAAATAGCTAGGATCACAATGAAAATGCCGGAGCATTCCACAGTTGGGTGGCAACAGATCCGCAATCCCTCAACTTTGCTGGCTTATTATTGTGGCGGACGAACCCCAGAATACTATGTCCATAAAAAAAAAAAGCCGTACCCACGCCTTCCGGTTGTAAAAATGTCTAGTCAAAAACTAGTGGACCAAAGAACATATCCCATTACGTCCCCCTTACCCTCACAGCAGGCCAGACAAAGCCTAAAGATGCCCAAGGATTGCTCATCGCCTGAAGTAGTTTCACATGCTCCGCTAGGAGCGCGCCTCGTTTGCTCACATGAGAAACCTGCTACTCCGTGGAAGACTCCAGCAAGTCCCATGCTCCGACATCCGGCTCACAGATAGTGCCTAACTCAGGCAACACTCCGTCCTTGAAATACGCCTGCACTGCTCTCGTGGTACATAACGATGGGTGAGCGGTCAGTCCGTGCTAGCAGTTGTCAGTCTAACTCACCCAAAAGCAAACAGAAAACTTACTCCGTAACCATTGTGCGTCAGCACAACGCTATCCTCGAATCCGGCACTGGCGTTGAAAGCAGAGACGAGCGGTGTGGCCACATCAAACACACCGTTAACGAACAGGATAGGAAACTTCGTCCTCGCCGAGAAATTTCCTGTGTACCGCTCTTTCGCCTCCATCTTCCACGCTGCGCAGGTCCATGTATGTTCATATCCCACGTCAGAGAAGCTCTCGCTGACCGTGGCTTGGTACTCCACCTGATCGAGAATCTCCTCTGGGGAAGATGCACGCCAAAGTGCATCGCTGCAGCGGATACCATTGATGCTATCGACTCCTAGATTGTACGGCTCCCGGGTGGGATCTGGGGTTGGCAGCGGCAGGTCGGTCAAGCTTCCGTTCAAGAAGCCAGTTATGGTCTCCGCAAGCCTGGGCCACAGCCTGGGCCAGTAAAGCCGGCTGTAAATGTACTGCTTCACCGAAAGGTATGCCAACCACCCTTCTTCATGGCCACTGGTCGCATTTTGGAGAAGGGGCTCTAGCCCAGCGTTGAGCACCTCGAATAGATCCGCCGCCGTTGTTAGGCCAGTGTACTGAGCTAATGCGCACCTGTCCTTCGCCTTGGCACACTCGTCGAGGAAAGCCAACAAGGTTTTGTCCGCATCCACAAGGTAATTTCCCCAGTGCCCGACAGCATAGTCATGTGGGTTTATGTTGGCGTCAAGGAGCATTCGTTCGACACGTTCAGGGAACATGGCTGCAAAGGTAGACCCGAGCTGAGTGCCGTAGGATAGGCCCCAATATCGCAGGAGACCGTCTTCGCCAAGCGCATCAATAATTTCTACCATATCTCGAGCAACGAAAGCGGTTCCGAGGAGTTCTCCTGTTGCATTCATGGTTGAGTAGCAAGCCTCTGCATAAGATACGGCACCATCCCATCCGCCGTTGAGAAAGCGTTCCGTCAAATTGGTGCGCACCAAACTGTCGGCGTCGCGACGCTGGACTGCTGCTGTTTCGGCGAGCCCACAGTCAAATGGGATCGTCTTGCCGGTACCCCTGGTGTAGTCAGCATATTTAGGATCTGGACTATGCGAAATAGCAATACCGAGGATCCCAGGATACAACGTTATATTGCCCGCCCAGAACCCTTGAGAATGGTTAGTATCAGTGCAAAAGCAAGACATTAACAGACTCACTCAATCAGCTCTTCACTCTGTACTGCCAGGTTCTCGACTCCCGTTCCTCCAGGGCCGCCTGGGTTCCACAAAACGCTGCCGAGGACCGGCTCCTGGGTAGCGTTCACCCTGATCAGAGCTAGGTCGAGTGTCCCAGACTCAGGGTCTGTATAGTCGAGCGGTACTGGAAGCGATGCGCAGTCGAAAGGTAGTGAGATGGGCACTCCCAGGGCTTCAACAACTTGGCCCTCAACATCAGGACATGGATGCCAGTTGATGGTACGATTTTGTGAGACCTTGCCCTCGCCATGTGGCAGCGCTTCGGTTGTGAATAGAAAAGAGAGTGCTAATAGCGCGACAGGGAGCTCCATCGTCTAGAGATCCGGTTAAATAAAGACTGGGGAGTCAGTGGTCAGAATGTCTTGAGAGTCTGAGTGGAAGGTCATCAAGCAAGATGTTCTGCGAAGCTTTTATACCAACGCTGGAGGCTTTCCATAGGATACGACGGTGACATGGATGTTGGCTCGCCATGGCTGGGCAAGTCTTGGGAAAGGCCCATTCTTGTCCTGATCGACGGAGAGCTGCGGTATGACATGACCGTAGGGTAAAAATAAAGGTACACACTGCCACAGATGCGAAGATTCATTGGGCAGGGACATGAAATGTGCGGTCAACCTCGCAGTCGAGAGATATTCGGCTGTGGAAAGACGCCTAACCAGATTTGGTCCTATCTGCCGCTGATGAGGATCGTCGGGAGGCAGTGGAATCGCCACGCGCTCCAACGAAGATCGAGGCTCAAGCTACAAAGCTGGGAGTCTTTTGGATGCTAAAGGAGCTAACATTGAGATGGAGTGGATCCTATTACTACTACGTTACTACGTAGTAAATATAGTGTATCGAACAGGAGCCTGGCAGCGGCACATATCACCAACTACGGAATAAGCTGTTGCTAACAGTCCGGTCATCACATTCTCTCGTATCAGACCCGCCCGGTTCCCCAGACGGGCTTAGTGGGTATAGCCACACACGCCATGCTCGGAATGGGCTAGTCGCTGACTAAGCAGGGATCGTGCTAGCACACATGGACTTAGTCATCGCCCAAGCCAATAGCACGGGCTGAGAACTGAGGCAACCGCCCGGCTGGCATTTCGATACGAGTGTTCTAGGCGTAGTAGCCTCGGTGAGATAATATCTGAGCTCCGGGTCTCTCGTATGCTACTAACCATTGCGGCGAGACGGAAATCCGAGGGCTCTTTATTCACACACAGCCTCCAAATGGATTCATTCGGCTATTCATATTTGTAGCTGGTGGTGCTGATGCTCTGCCCCATTATTGGAACCCAACGATAACGTACGTAGTAGGTGGACCAGCAAAGTACTAATATTTGGTACCCGTAATACAATGAAATTGTGTTGCATTACTTATGCCGCCGAGAAGTCTCCGCTAGCGAGGTTTTCAAACCAATGAGAGCCAAATCAGACTTCATAAATCTTTGGGTAAAGGCTTCAGCCACGGGACGATCGCCACAGCCTAGTTACGGGTCTCTCAACGACGAATCAACTTCTGCAACACTGTGGCTGATTATCTACACAGGGCGGCACCGACTAACACGGGTACTACTCCGTACTACGTATTGCTTTGCTGCCCACCTTTGTGATATCAATTCAGTCCATGCTTGGGCTGACATGGTAATTTCGCGGAAGAGCTTGCCAGTTTACCCACCCTGTGTGATCGTAAAGAAGTGCCCCTTCATACTCGCGCCGCACTGAGTATCACAGAGCCAACAATCCATGGAATTGGCCAAGTGATCATGTATTACCCCTATTGCGTATGAAATCTGCGCAAAAAAATGCCAGGCGTTCCATCCGAGTGGGAATGTGGAGCATATCGTGAGCCAGCCAGCCGCATGCTGTATACACACATAACGGTAGTTGACCCAAAAGGTCATCCACACACTGGAGATATAGCCGCAGATGTGACGTATGTGACGTGCACGCCAGTGCTCTTGAGTGCAGATACATTGCCTCACCCGCTGTGCCAGTACTGGTTCCAACCATCCACCCCAGCTCATGAGTGAGACAATTACTGCTCTTGTTGATGAATGAAGCTTCTCACCGTGTAAACTTCACATCATTCGCAATTGAATGTAATGGTGTACCAATTCGCTCTTGCACATCCTCTACTCGCATCAATTCGCCGCACAGCATGTACTCTCCCCGCCTGATTGCATCCACTATAATCTCTCGAAAGAGTGTGATTTCAAATGCACCGTCCGCGAAAGTAAAGCGTCTTGTTGTCGTTTGACTATGACACACTTCCCGCATTGCCTGTGTTCATTGCTTGCTGCACGCTAGCAAACTGAGCATTTTGCTCTTGGGAATGCCCTTGAGACGATCCACCACATACTCAAACCGGGTGGATATGGGTTGATTCGGGACCACTGCTGTACCTGTCACGCCATTGGTGCCGCTGCCGCTTGATGAGATTGTGAATGCGGTGTTCAAGATGGATGAGTATTTGCCTTCCAGAAAGGTGTGTCGGGAGGCGAGTTCCCCCAGGTATGACGGAATGGTGATGTAGATGGTGAAAGAGCAAGGGAAGGGGGTTAAGTACTATTTCAACAGGCCGAGTTTGGATCTATATGCTTATTTAGCGCATTTTTGAGTTGTGAAGATGGAGAAGGAGCACTTGGCTGAATCCATGGGAATCAGTGTTGTGAATATGCCGCGGAAGGGGTCTTTTAGAAGACGGCCTGGGGAGAGAGGTTGTGGTTGCTTTTTAGACCTTCGATTAGCAGAGGAGGAAATGAGAGAGTACAGAGATTTTGTTCCGAGTAGAAGGATCTTGCGAACCAGGGAGGCATGCAAATGACTCAAAAAGTGTAGCAGAGCTTGCTGCTTAGGAGCATCGACCTGGGAATCATAGACATATCAAATCCGGCGAGGACGAGGTTCTTTTATGTTGATGCAATCAATGAGAAGGCTAATAGAGTTATACTGTTCTTGGAAAATATTTGTAGAGAAACGAAAAGCCAGTCAAATAAAATATAGAATGGAAAAAATGAAATCTGAGTAGGAGGAGCATACTGCATTCGATGCCAATACTTGTTCTGCATGCAGAACCACGTCAACTGCCCACGCTGCTCTAGTCTTGATATAGTGAGAATACGGAGTTGCAGCATGTCGTTAGGCACATCTGCTTCCGACCAAGCTCATGGTAACTAGAAAGGTGTTGGTATGAATGCATAAGGTGAGTAAAAGATGAGGATGGCAACCCTTTTCCAACACGGTCATCATGGAAAATGACTCACAGTGCCGATAGAATTGGATATGCATTGCAGTGCAGTAAGTTATGCGGCCAAGGGAAGGGTGACCAAACATGGTAGTAAGTAGTGCCACCACAGCAAAGCCAACTCCTGGAAATTGTCTCAGATTGGTGGATATGTTGGCTGTCATTCCGTCTAGCTATTTGCAAGATATGATAGCCACTCGCAACTAGATAAGTTAACATGTATGAAGCAATGTCATCGACGTGGTTAGGGCTTTCTGTCGGCGTCTGCAGTATCTGATCGGATGGGAAGAATGTTTCATATATGCAGATATAGAGACCTCGAGCGGCCACGGCATCGAAATGGTCAAGCGCAGCGCATGTGTTCGCTGTCTTCATCGGTCTTCACGTGGCTGTCGTGTTTGGCGTATACACCAGGTATCATATTTTGCAACTGTGGCCGCAAAGTACCGAGTTGTCACTGCCAATCAACTGGCATTTCTCACGTTCTGCGACTCGTCTGCTGTGAGTCCGATATCCAGAGAGCTGAATATTTGAGAATGATATGCATTGCGGCGGCCGGCTGACGTCCTCAGGGCCTCATATGGGAATCTGTGTCAGCAGTTTCGGAACGGCTGCATACGACTGAGACTGCCACCCGGATCGCACCACATAAGCCATCGCCGAAACCGGAATATCCAGGGAAGGTACCACTAGCATTGCCGTAGTTCTTTTCGTTGTATTTGCTAGACTTCCATTGACGATAACTGCCATTTATGTCGTTTTCTGGTTGTCTCGTGCCAGAACGCGTACAAGCAGGTCGGATGACAATGGGTATGATTCCAACGCCCCTATAAAAAAGATTTAAGCAGACCAGGGACGGAAGACTGGAAGCAGGAACTAAGAGACGTTCGGAACAGTCTGTGGATATGAATCTGACCAAACAGGAACAAAACAGTGAAAAGAGCTCTATCATATCTGAACATACGTTGCCAGCGACGCCCGTGATGCAAGAAGAATCGCTATAGAATGTGGCGCACGGGCTCACGGCATCTAAGAAGTCCTTGCAAGGATTGATGACCACTGAACGCGTCCGAGCTCGAGGACACCTGGATGGCTGAAATATAATGAATCAAAAAAAAGGGGCTCATGCGCCAGTGGGGAGCTATTTTATATGAATCCTCGTACTACCCAGCCCTGCTCTTGAAATAGGAAGATGAAGATTCTGCGCTGGGGAAACACAATAGAGACTGAACATGGTTGCATGCTAAAAGAACATTGAAGGGTGGCTTGGCGCTTGTCAAGACGCTCTAGGAACATTTGCGACTTCACCATGAGATTGGTCAGGACCGTTAACCGGATGAGATGAATTGAAGGTTATGATAAGGCCCATGCTCTGATGCTGATATGCACAACAAGAATATATAAGATACAAACCGTTCCCGGCTCAAGCCGTCGACGATGATCACAGTCTCATGAAGCTCAGTCAATCTTGCGCCGCCAGTGCACAATCTCTTCCGCCTTGTTGCGAGAAGTTTATCATCTCTGTCTCCTCGGACTACCGAAATCAATGCTCTTGGCTTCTTTCCCTGGGGGTGGTGGTAACGGTCCACTCGGTGGCCCGCCTGCAGGAGGGGCAGTTCGTCTCGGCATAGTGGCAGATTGTAGCCCATTACGCGGGCTAAAACCAGAGCCTGCTGAAAGGGCGCTTGCGCTATGCATCCGAGGCGGAAAAAACGGTCTAGTTGTTGGTTCGACAGCAGAAGCAGGCTCAGGAATGTTGTCTCGGTTGCCGAAACCAAGTCTGTTGCTGCGTGCTGAATAAGGATTGAGCATACTCTTGTCTTGCGTCTCGAGACTCAAGTGTTCTAGGCTAAGTGGAGGGGTGGGTGATCGGGGTGACATGCTTGTTGTGAAGGAATTTGGCGGCGGTGATTGCGTTGCGATAACCGGAATTTCACCTGACTGAGATGTAGGAGTCGAAGTTGTCCTGGTAGACTGCGTATCACCACTTGAACCAGAATTGGGACCAGTCGAAGGTGCATTGTGGTTGTTTGAGTTAGCGTAGGAAACGTTGTTGCTTGCAGGATGATGTTCCGGAGCATGGCCGACAAAAGAGTCCCGCGAGCCATCACGATTGAGTGCTCTGGGAGCTGGCGGTTCCAAGTAGGACTTCCGGTTATTTCTCTCCATCATGGAGACGGCCCATTCCTCGATGTCAACTGGCGTACGCTTCGCAGCCTGAAGGAAGAGGTCTTTGTCCTATGGAAAACGTTACTTCACTTCACAAGCGTAGAGGAAAGATGGACTGAGGACTCACGTATAACTGTCGGGGGGTGGGTCGTTCTTCTGGATTTTTCAACAGACACTTGGCAACAAATTCATGCAAGATAATTGGGAAGGCTTCGCTTTGTGGGAGCTTCGGAGCTGGCTCATGGACAATGGTCTGCAACAGGTCGAGAATACCCATCGGACCGGCGCTAGCTCTGTCTCCAGCAGCAGACTCATTGCTATCGAAAGGAAAACGTCCGATGGCCAATTGCATGACCGTCAGTCCAACACTCCAAACGTCCGAAGTGACTGAATATGCTCCACCCTGTATCCGCTCGGGGGCCATATAAGTTGAAGTCCCTACGAAAGTGTTCGCAATAGAGTTGACTGTCTCCGTCGCCACACCAAAGTCACAGAGTTTGATACTGCCCCTAGAATTGACGAGCACATTAGATGGTTTGATGTCTCGGTGCATAATACGGTGTGCTTCCCAAAGATAAACCAGGCCTGCGAGAATGGATTCAGTGATCTTTCCCAGCACATTTACGCGAACAGGGCCAAAGTCTTTCGATATCCTGTCAAGAGAGCTGCCGAAGGTTTAGTAATGATTTCACGTACTGAACATTGCTAAAAGCTTACCCACAGTCCATGTATTCCATACAAAGCACAATATCTCTTGCATCATTCTGAAAAGCACCGTAGAATGTTATGACATATGGTGAGTTGCAATCGTGTCCGACCTGTAATTCTCTCACGATCTGCTTGCGAACATTCTCTTTGGCATCCAATCGAATGATCTGTCCCAGCCAACATCAGCGCGGAATCTGTGTCGGGTTGATCGAAGATCGTACCTTCCTTGCCATGACCACTTTGGTCGATGCATGCGAGACTTTGCTGACGGTTCCTCCATTGCCTGCGCCGAGTTCTTTTTCAAAAATCAAATCTTCGCTTCGTAGGTCAAGCTTAAACTCCAGACCAATCTCCAGAGTGTCTGTCCTGTTGCTCTCTGAATTTCCAATAGCCCCGGGTATTTGTGCATCGCCGTCTGAGGGGTTCGGAGCTCTGGCTGGAGCCTTGTTCAATGTGAGGTTTTTGGCATTCTTGCGCTTGAAAGAGTTTGGTTTGAAGGGGTCCGACATCTTTGCTGTTCACGAAATATGCTCGAATGCAGTACAGGCACACAAAGAGAATTGTCTCGGGTCTGATACAGTCGATTGTACACCCTTAAGACTGCCGAGTAGTTGTAACAGAGTGCGCGGCTATCAGGTGGCAGTGGCGGCTAGGGAAGTGGAGGTATCAGGAGGAAGCGGGGGCCATGGGAATATATCAATGATCTCAAACCATGCTCGTACCGATATACCGTTGGCTCTTGGGGAGGTTCGAACGTTTAGGGAGGATAGAAGCGCAGGTCGATTGGTACCTGACGCGGAAGATATGCAGTCTTGACTTGTCAATAGTATGCAGCTTGTCACCTTGAAAGATCAATAGTTGAATTGAGTCAGCATTAAATTCTTCAGCCCGTGCCTGACTTGTGCCGCCGATTGGAAGAAAGGATAGATTATCACAACAGGAGGTGGACGACTGGTGGAATAATGCTTGTGAAGAGAGATGCTATTAGATGAATAGGCATCCACACCGTCTGGGATGCAATCAATTGCCCCTCGCCATTGGCAGCTTGGGAAGCAGCCCACTTTTGATTGACACTCCCGCACCTGATTCCATTCTTGACCCTGGACGTCGCCCCGAACTCTAAATTTCTCCAGGAGCCTAGGCAGTCAAAGTTATCTCCTTGGCATGCAGCCTGCGCTTCAATCTACTATGGAATCCAAGCCGCGAATGTAAGCATACAATCATCTTCCCCACACAACCTCAGGATACCAGGGAGCTCATTCGAGAGCTCACAGCTGGCGGGAAGCTCGCCAAATCAGTGGTTCAGCTGTAGCAACGAGATCTAGCAGCCATGAGCGCAAGAGATCTGCTTGACGATGCAGCGATTCTGGACGATGAAGACGACGAATCTTTTGATGAGGCCACTGGTGAGGTGAGGCTGAAGGCAAATGGCACAAAAGATCAGTTCGATGATTCTTCCGAAGAGGAGGAGGATGATGACGAGGAAGAAGCAGCTAGGGTCAGTACATGGTGCTAGAGTGAAGGCCAACCCCCTTGTTGACGTTCTCCGTCGCTCTCTAGGTCGCAGAAGGCTTCATTGTCCAAGATGAAGAAGAGGATGAAGAAGCACGAGTCGAACGGCGCCGAAAGCATGGTGAACGCAAAAAACGTAAAAGAGAGCAGCGGGAACGTGAAGATGAAGGCCTCGACGAAGAAGACCTAGATTTGATAGGTCTGGGCAGAGATGTGGAGGATCAAACCGAGTCTAAATTCAAACGCCTAAAACGAGGTCCTCGGGAGGCAATGGATCGCCACGACCAGAATGACGTTAGCAGAATCTTCGATCGGGATGACGAGGAAGAAGGAGTTGGTGACTACAGACGGCCGGGTCGATCAGACCGAAGAGGCGCACAAGATGAATTTGAAGACTTCATCGAGGAGGACGTCTTTTCTGACGATGAGCAACAACGCATGCAAGAGGACAAAGATGTTGCTCGGCCTACCAGGGGTCCTGTCAGCTTTGCCAACGCCGACACAACTGGTCTCGATGAGGCAGCTCTGGAAGATCTTCAGCTCGCATTTGGGGACGGCACAGATTACGACTTCGCTCTTGATGCGGAAATGGCAGCTGAAGAACAAGAGAATGAAGAGGATAAGCGCCTCGACTTAAAAGACGTGTTCGAACCATCTCAACTGGCGGAGAGAATGCTGACCGAGGAAGACAACGAAATCAGGCATACAGATGAGCCTGAACGCTTTCAACTTGCACGAAAGCCATATAGGCACGTCATTCTCACCGATGAGCAATTCAGGGAAGAAGCCACCTGGATCTCAGATCTACTGCTTCCAAAAAGAGGGAACCTTTGGAAGAGGCCCGAACTCCACGAGCCATTCCGACGCTCTGTTGGAAAAGTGTTGGAGTTTATGGTTTCCGAAGACTACGAAGTACCGTTCATTTTCCACAATCGAAAGGACTATCTGATTCATGCCAATAAAATTCCTTTAGGGAAGGATGCCAACGGGGAAATGCAGTATGAGATCGAAGCTGCCAAACTCTTGAATCAGACTGATTTATGGGAGATTATGGACCTTGATCTGAAATTCCGAGGACTGATTGACAAGCGCAATTCTCTGCAGAGAACCTACGATAGTCTATTATCGAACTCGGTTCCTCCAGACAGCATCTTTGAAGCCATGCTTCCTACTGCCAAAACGATGGAAGAGTTGCAGGACGTTCAAGATTACCTATATTTTCAGTACACTTCACAGCTCAAGGATCTTGCAACCTTGAACGGCGGAGACGAAAGTCTAGTACCCCGGAAGGCCACAACCTCCAACACTATGTTTGAAAGAATTCGAAATGGCAACATCTACCCTTTGGTGCGGGCGTTTGGCATCTCAGCCGACGCATTCGCACAAAACGCCTCGAACCAAGGAGTCCGAAAGTATACAGAAGATCCGAGTGATCGCCCTGACGACTTGGCTGACAAAACCCTGGATGAAGACTTCCCTACTGGCTCTCAAGCTCTCAAAGCAGCCAAGTCCATGTTCACCGAGGAGTTATATACTAGCCCTCGACTGAGAAGAGTCATGCGGCAGAAATTCTATCAAGTCGGAGTCATCGACTGTTTCCGGACAGAGAAGGGTCTTCGCAAGATTGATGAGCAACATCCTTACTATGAGTTCAAATACCTCCGCAACCAAGAATTTGCCTCCATTGCACGGCAGCCTGACCAATATCTAAAAATGTTGAAAGCAGAAGAAGATGGGCTCATGGAAGTCAAGGTCAGACTCCAGAACGTGGAAGCTATAAAGAAGCAGCTCTTCAAGCAGATCGAATCGGACAATTTTAGTGAGGTAGCTGATGCTTGGAACCGAGAACGAAGAGAGGTTCTTGGGAATGCAATCGGTAAGCTCATGGTCCTGATGGGCCGCTTGGTGAAGGAAAATTTGAAGACTGAATGCGAAAACATTATTGCCAAAGAGTGTCGGGACGAGTTCTCCAGAAGAGTGGATCAGGCCCCTTACACTCCGAAAGGTGAGAAAAAGGGAACAGTACCTCGTGTCCTAGCTCTTTCGAATGGAACAGGTGTCCCGGGTCGAGATGCTATCTGTTGGGTCTGGGTTGCCGAGGATGGTCGAGTTGTCGAGAACGGCAAATGGAGCGATTTAGCACCAGGAGACAAGGAACGAGACTTGCCAGATGGGAAGGATGTTGAAGCTTTTGTCGAAGTTGTCAGGAGGAGGGCCCCAGACGTTATTGGGATATCCGGGTTCTCCCCTGAGACAAGAAAGTTATACAACAATTTGAACACCATTGTGCGCGAGAAGAACCTTCGGTCAGCACCTTTCGATGACGAGGACGAGCGCGAGACCAGCGAACTTCTGGAAGTAGTCATTGTCAATGATGAAGTTGCTAGACTCTACCAGACTAGCGAACGAGCGAAAGTGGATCACCCCAGCTTCGCTCCCTTGACGAATTATTGCGTCGCTCTTGCCAAATACCTCCAGGATCCGCTTCTGGAATATGTTGCACTAGGCAGAGACCTGGTGTCCATTTCGTTCTGCCCAGCGCAGTACCTGCTTCCGCAAGAACGAGTTATGCACCAATTGGAGACTGTCCTGGTTGACATGGTCAACATGGTGGGTGTGAACCTCAACGATGCTGTTCAAGACATGGCAATCGCCAATCTCTTGCCATATGTGTCCGGGTTGGGCCATCGTAAAGCTGCCTACATGTTGAAGATCATAAATTTGTGTGGTGGTGAGGTTGCTTCTAGGGCTGATCTGCTTGGGTTCGTTTGGGAGCATGCCGCCGTGGGCGTGAAATGCTGGAACAACGGTGCCAGCACGTTTTATGTCGAATATGATCCAGCCGAGAAAGACATGGAATACCTTGACAACACTCGAATACACCCCGAAGATTATGACATTGCGCGTAAGATGGCCGCCGATGCCCTTGAGCTGGATGAAGAAGACGTTAAGGTGGAAACCGATGAGAACGGACCCGGAGCAATCGTCCGGAAACTGGTCAAGGAAAATGCGCAAGCCATCAACGACTTGATCCTAGAAGAATACGCTGAGCAGCTGGAAAGAAATCTGAACCAAAGAAAACGGGCCACTTTAGAAAATATTCGCTCAGAGCTCCTCGACCCTTATGAGGAGCTCCGTAATCCTTTCATCACGCAGTTGGCATCAGACGACGTCTTCACCATGTTTACCGGAGAAACCCGAGAGTCACTCGACAAAGGCATGATCGTCCCAATGGCCATCAAACGCATCACGGATGATCACATCGACGCCAAACTCGACTGCGGCATTGACGCATTTGTAGGCGAGAGTGACCTCACTGACCGCTATGACGTCTCCGTCAAATCCCTTTACGCCCTGCACCAGACCGTACAAGCCAAGATCCTCTCCATCGACCGCAAGCACTTCACCGCCACCGTCTCCTTACGAGAAGACCAGACCAAACGCCCCTACCGCAAATTCCATGACCGGCAATACGACGAATGGGACGACCGTCAAGAAGCCGCCGACAAGAAACTCCTCGAAGAAAAGACCAACATCGGTGGCCGCGCTACCCGTGTCATCAAACACCCCCTTTTCCGCGCCTTTAACTCTGCCCAAGCAGAAGAATACCTCGGCTCCCAGAATCGTGGAGACGTCATCATCCGTCCTTCGTCCAAAGGGTTGGATCATCTGGCTGTAACGTGGAAGGTCTCCGATGGTATCTTCCAACACATCGATGTCCTGGAAATGGACAAAGAGAATGAATTTGCCCTGGGGAAAACACTTAAGATTGGTGGGAAATACACGTATTCCGATCTGGATGAGTTGATAGTCCTACACGTCAAAGCCATGGCTAAAAAGGTCGAGGAGATGATGTTGCACGAAAAGTTTCAGGGGGGTAGTAAGGCTGATACTGGTAAGCCTCTCTCCGCCCTCTCCTTCCCATCTTTCTCACCCTTCTTCGCCATCTCAACTAACATGAGTTGTTCTCGGCAACAGAGCGATGGTTGACTACCTACACGGAAGCGAACCCAAAACGCAGCGTCTACGTCTTCTGCATCAACCCCAAATATCCCGGCTACTTCTATCTCTGCTTCAAGGCCGGCCAGCACGCCAAACTCATGAATTGGCCTGTCAAGGTTATCCCGAACGGCTTCGAGTTGCACCGTACCCCCTACCCGAGCATGCTGGATCTGTGTAATGGCTTCAAGCTGCTGTTTGCGAATATGCAGAATGGGGTGAGGAGGTGATATTTTGCAATCAGTGGGTGAGGGAGGGATAGAGGGTTTGGTGTGCGGCTGAGGTACGGGGCGGCTGAGTTGGGCAGGCCAAAGAAAAAAATTTTACTTTCTCAGGGAGTAAGGGTGCTGCAGCGGTGAGCATTGCATGTGCGGCCGGAGTTCAGCGAACCCCTTGGTAATTCCAATCGACGCGCTCGATTCTGATTGGTTTGGGAGGAGCAGCGTCTATTCGTGGCTTGTATACCTACCTACCTATCTACCTACCTGTTGTGATAGTCGTTGCTGCAGCGGCAGCTGCTTTCGCTATCTCCTCTTCTAGTTCTTCTGAGCCAGATATAACTACTCTATGTCTGCTCTAACAAGCTACTCATACAGCAGAGAAAAAGTAAGACTGTTCTGCTCCACGTATCTTTGGATCTCCCGTTCATTCCCTTGGCTCCTATTGAGAAGGAGGGGTCCTTGGAATCGTGTCCGTAGTAAGTTAGTTCTCGGCTTTGTCCTTTGAGTACCTTGTGCGTGCCATGGTCTGGTCTGGTCTGGTCATGGCTGAGGGAGAGGAAGAGGAGATAGCGTGTGTTGGGTGTGCATCTGTTCAGCGAGTATCTGGATACAACGCGATGATAGCCGTAGACGTGGCATCACATCCTCGCGGCGGCGGCGGCGGCGTCGTCGTCGTCGCCGTCATCGTCAACATCAAGAAGTCAGACCAGCCGTTCATGGTGTTGGTTGTTGTACATGTATGGCAATCGAGTCTTCGGACTTGAATATTTTTTTCCCTCAGTCCAAAAGAAGATCGTTAGGGTTTTCTCGCCTCCGCTGTTAATCCGTTCATCCACCTCCCACCACAGCCTGCACGATCCTCTTCTTCAGTTCGCTCTTCCGGTCTACCCCAGCCGCAGCAGCCGCAGCAACAGCATCCTCATCTTCCTCATCAACCATCATCTCCATCTCCGCCTCAACCGCCGCGCTGTAAGCTTTGATGACGGTGTCTTCATCGATCTTGAGTGCCGCATCTGCAAGCAGGGTGATACAGGTACACAACCTGGCGATTTCCTTTCTGGTTCTGTAGTCGATCTCATCATTCTGGCTCGAGTAGATCTCATTCGAGACCAGCTCGTCCAAATTCGAGATGGACATGCCAACCCTGCCACCTGCCCCACCCATCTTCGCCTTCCCTGCTTTTTCCTTCTCCAGCGCATCCGCCTCCGGATCCACATGACGACTGACCCAGCAATACCCATTAACCCCCAACGCGACATCCACCTCCCCACTCCCGCTCCCGCTCCCGCTCCGTCCCCGGACGACGCCGCCCCCCCTCCCCTCGCCCATCGCCCGGACAAAAACCCCATTCCTCAACTTGCCGTACCTCAAACTCCGCGTGTGCAGCGTCGCGACGCCGTCACTATTGCCCACCCCTTGCACCTCGGCAACCAGCAGATCGCCCTCCTGGAAGTAGGTGCGCATCTGCAGCTCATCCGCGGTGGTGCGGCGGCGCAACACCCCGCCGGGCAGGTTGATGGACGAGAGCGGGAGCTGGGCCAGCAGGGGCGCGGAGATGTCGACGCGCCAGCGCGCTCGGTCGACGCTGACGATGCGGCCGAGCACGAGATCGCCGATCGAGGGGTGGTAGCGCGAGCGGAGCGGCGTGATGGAGAGCAGTTTGTTGGTGGTGTGCAGCGGGCCCGGCAGGGTGGCGGTGATGGTGGCGCTTGCGTGCGAGGTGGAAGGGACAGAGGGGCTGAAGGTGCCGTGGCCGCGCATCCATTGCGGTTCGCTGGTGATGGTTTCGCCTGGCACGAGGATGCGGTTGCGATGCTGGGACGAGGAGAGCTTGGGCCGCTTGCTGGGTCGGCTGCTGGTGGAGGGCGCGTCGGGCATGGAGGTGTCGCTTGAGGAATCGTTTGGAGAGGGGGATGGCGATGCGGGAGACCCGGAGCCGAAGTCGTCGTCTGAGTCCGAGGGAGGAAGAATAGTTATCCCCATTGCTTTAGGATGTTATCGAGTGCGCAAATGTTCGTGTAGCTCATGTAGATGTATCCATTGTATCAATCAATGCCGAGGATGGATAGCGCCTGAGCAAAGGCGGCGATGTTGACTAACCACATGGAGGCCCCACCAGAAAAACTCTTATGGGATAATACTACTTATAAGGTAAATATGAACTTAGGAACAAGCTTCTTGAGGAAGACTGGTCGTTACATCGTACTTTTATCAGATGAGTGCCATTATAAATCTACTTTACTTGCTCTACAGAAGCGTACCGTGTGCGAACCATCTACATAGTATATGTATTGTGCGTCCCAAAAGTGTTGCAAAATTGCAACACTTTTGGGACGCACAATAATTGATCTGCACGCTATATTTTTCGAAGTTCTCTATACTACCCTCTCTCGGGTGGCCTTCGACAAATGCAGTGAAGTGTGCGGTTACTGTGTTGCCAATTACCACAACAAGGTTAAATCTTTCAGGTTCAACAGTATTGAATCACTGTTCATCCAAGCCGTCAATACTACTCTTGCTCCTAACGTGAACTGTAGGGAGCAAATTTGAATGTGAGCATAAAAAAAGGGGAAAGTCTGGGGTCATTTGATGCTGCTTTTGTCTTCTATTCCACCTTCCGCTTCGTCATTCAGCAGCCCCTAAATCTACTCTACACAGACAGGATATGACTGCAACCGCGCTCACTGCGGAAAGGATATTGCCTACCAAGCCACTCAACATCAATCATAAGAATCCGTGAGGTTCTATTGCCCTGTTGGCTGCCAAACAAGAATTCTCTTCATTCATGTTGCAGACACCATCGCCAGGCAAATGTGTATCACACTGAAGTTCCATGACAAGCTCTTGACGCCAGTTTGGTTTGAATCATTTACAAGGTTTTGCCTGGTCATACACTAGGGACGGCTCACCTGTTCCGCATGTGTGACGGGGCGAGTGATTACAGCTTGAAACACTACGATGTTTCTGATTGACAGGGCCTTTTCAACGCCCTACTGCCTAAGTGCTTTGTTAAGTACCATGAACTACATACAAGCCGCCTCTATTCTCTGCATAAATTCCGGGGTATGTTCAAGGTGTTGACAATGGGACGTACAGAAAAGCAAGTTAGCCACAGGAAATGTTTGATTCTAGGTTCCAGAATACGATTCGATGGGTTATACGAAAGACGACCAGTACTTTACCTCATTGTCTCCTTTTCAGGTCCGTTTGAGAACCAAATTTCTTGTTATCGCCAACTGTTGCGTGAGTACCACGCTTTATTCTTCCTTGCTCTACACTTTTTGTGCAAGCTGCCAAACGCCCGATTATGTCTGATAAAGATGGCAGTCCTGAGCGAGCAACAACAAGGAGTTTGGCAGGAGCAATTCCAACAGGGCCATCGGCCAGAGCTGCACATGAGAGACGGGTGCGTAGAGCGGAAGGGACAGATCAAGACTCAACAGCCAGAGGCCCAAGGGTTTCGCCTGTCCGAGCTCCACAACCGACCCTGACGCCAACAGCACTCCCTAGACGATCAAGAGATCATACATCTAAAGCGCCACAGAAAGGAAACGCTTCATTGGTAGGAGCCTCGAAGTCGCTTGCTCAATCTCCAGCCCAACAAGTAACGCCATCGTTGATACCAGCTCTGGCATCCGGACCGCAACCTGATCTGGATCTTCCCTTAGCTGTGAGAAGATCTCGAAGACATTCGAGTGGTGGATCAGGATCGTCTGAGAAGGAACGGGCTGCTTCAATACAACCCAACCAAACGAGCAGATCCAAAATTGGCACAAACGTTCATCTTCAGCTCAGCGGGGCAAGTGCTTCACAACCCAAATCTACTGGGGCTGCCGCAGCTGCGGAGCATGATGGTAGACCTGCCAACCCTTTTGTGGGACTGTATCAGGACTGGGCTGGTGCTGCTGATCAAGGATCACCTACTTCCCAGAACAATGTGAACAGACTTATCGCAGCTGCAGGAAGTCATGATAGTTGTGATGATTGCTTGTGGAGGATGTTCGAGGAGTGGGATAGCGCGGACGAAGAAGTGGTCCATGCAGTTGCTGGTGCTGGTCTCGCAGCTTCGGCGCCTGCGATGGTCGGGAGTGTTGTGGAGACCGGTGCTGCCCCGAGTAATTCTGACCAGGTTAGTGCTGCTAAGTAAGGCCAGGTGCAAGAAGTTGTTGTGAGAACCGCATTCGTCCTTACATAACCTCATCTTGACGCAATGTTGCTAATCCAATCTCATTCTACTAGGAGCAGCAAAGAGGGCTACGATCGAAGAAGAAACGGACGGCTCTACAGGCAATACCTCAGACGGAATTATCTGACGATGAGATTGCTACTATCATACAGTATCGTGACGAAAGGATGACTTGGCGAGAGATTTCTAAAAAAACAAGCCTTTCGATTGACACTCTCCGCAAACATAGAATTGTCGGACACTTCGGGCATAGTGTTAACAGATCAGTGCGAAGGTTTGTCCCAACGGAGAAACAGATCTCTGACGTCAAAAAATACCGTGCTGAAGGTAAGAGCTGGTGCGAGATCTCAGCAGTAATAGGCATAAACGAAAAAAGTCTTCGGACAGCCAAGGATAAAGGTTTTTTTGGTAGTGAAGATTCAGTTCAAAGATCATTACGGCGCAAAGATCTGACTGAAGACCAGGTCAGGGAGGTGAAAAGACTTCGGAGCGTGAATTACAATTGGAAGGAAATCGTAAAGAAAACCGGCATCACCCAACAAGTCCTTGATCTCCGGAGAAATGAAGGTCTTTTTGGACCTGAACATCGACTCCGATCCTACCAGACTCCCCTCAGCGAAGAGCAGATCTCGGCGGCGAGAGCGGGCCTCGCTGACGGCAAGGCGTCCAAAGCAGTTGCAAGATCAATCAACGTGGGAAGAGACGCTTTTCTGCAATACAGATGGGAAGGTGTGTTTGGGGATGAATACGCAGACGCGGAAAGAGCGCGAAGGCGCCGTATGAAGAAAAGCTGATTTTCATTGTCATCAAGTATGGTAGAAGATGGAAACAAGGAACAGAATTCGGATTCGAGAGGCCTTTTGTGTACATCACTCATCTCACTACCTGATTGTCACGTATTTTGTAACACAAATATTATTTCACTACAGTCCTCTTGTATCGTACTAAGTAGTATAGTCCTTCCTTGTATTAATGCAGTTTAAGCTACAGTCCTGTCAGTGACATTCTGATTGAGATAGAATCTATTCAAATAAGCCCAAAAAGACCGATACTCGATGCATTATCAATGTAGTGCTAGACCGCAAACCCAGATACGTCCACATGAGAAACCGCTCCGTTAGGTACTTAGCAGAAGCAGGTATTTTGCATCTTACCAATCTAGTTGGAGCCACGGTGACCCTTAATAGTATTTACCTGTAATCGGTAAGTTTCAAGAATACGAAATCAGTTATGGCAAGTGAGATTACTTCTCCGATTTATCCTATGTTGCTAAACCATCACGATTCGACCTTATACACATTGACTATCCATACATGCTCAGAAAGTCTCGAAACCCCTCCGGGAAAGACGTAGGTTTTGCCGTCCTACTCATCCGAAACCCGGCTTTCAGCAAGTTCTAGGTGTAAGAAGACAAAGCTTATCAACCTTTTCTTGAAAGAAATCGGAAGCGGATTGTTTTACTGTAGTCTGGAGGCAAATGAACCGCCGGATTCTAGCGATTCACAGGCAGCGCGGTAACACTGTTGAATAAGTCATCTCAAAAAGCCTAATATCATATTTTTTTTCGCCACGGCAGTTACATCTAGTTTTCGTGGGGAAGCTTTTCACCACTTAGACCAAGATGGCCTTGCATGCCGATCCAATACAACATCAATGGTGGATGCAGCGCGGGAAGCTAGAAAGATACCCGAGACGTGTGTGCAAGCAAGTGTATCTATTCGCCAGTGTTGGCTTTTATGGTGGTATCTGGTATCTGGTATCTGGTATCTTGGTAAAACAAAAATTGATAACTCAGGCCCCCAACACCTGGTTGAAATGGCGGAATGAATGAGATGCCGTGACATGTAAACGCCGGAATGGATGATGAAGGTAAAATGCCAACCTCCACTGGAGTGCAAGATCTGCCTGACACTTCTTAATTAGTCCTCGCTGAACCCTCGAATGCCCCTTTTCGGATTGTCCTTCCATCTACCCTTCTTGCCTTTGTCATGTCCAGGACTCCTCAGACCTTTCACATTTACATCCCTCATGATCAATGGTAGAGTGTCGAGGACTTGCTTGTTGCCCTCGAAGTAGTGATTCACAAATCCACCTTGGAGAAGCCGTCTCAGCGCATTGAGTCGCATCAATTTCCACCACTTGTCCACTTTCATCTCGCCTTCCTGATGGATACGAACAGTCATTCGTGAAGCATTGTTAGTTTGCAGGCCCAATCTGGGGTTCTCAACTGTGATCTGAATGCTTGCAAACGACTGATGAAGCTGTTTCTTTTCGTGCTTGCTAAGCTTGCGAGAGCTCAACGATGCCAGTGCTTGGACCTTTTCGAGGATCTCGTACGTGTTGTGGTAAGCGTTGTACCGTTTGATCAGCTTCGGACCGTCTGAATTGCCCGAATCGTCTCCAGAAGAGGAATTGTCCTCTGTTTCTTCCAGATCCGACAAGGTATCGTCCTCTTCCATTGGAGTGTAGCTCTTCTCGTAGAGAAGAGATATATTCTCTCCTGCCGCTATCTGCACGTAGACGTTATCGCTATCCAGTTGATCAACGAAGGCGGCCACAGCATCCTCTGACTCGGTCTCAAGATCTTCAATGTATGTTGTGAGGAACCCATACTCCTGCAATGCCGCAATGACCGTATCAGCATCATCGGTCGCATTAACGAATGATCCATCGGAGGATGCAATCTCGAGGAGAAAATTCAGGACTTCCATGATCTCATCGTCACCTGCGCCGCAGAACGCGATACAGGTACCTAGGCTGTGTATGGCGGCAGCTTTTGTGGAAAGGGACTGAGTGTCACAGATGGTGCGTTTAAGCTGTGCTGATAAACCATCGTAGCTAATGTCGTCCTGGAACGATATAACCATCAAGGCGATAGCTTTAAGGGCTAGTATTGTTTCTCGCTCTGTTGATTCGGCCTTGACGCTTCTAAGAAGCGCTGAAACCAGGTCCGCAACACGACCGTAGAGTTCGTCCGCAAGATGATGTGCAGTGAGAATTCGTACGAAAGCAGCTAGGCTGTCCTCTCGACCCTTGTAGCTGCTGCCCTTGCGTTCACACAGCTCCTCAATTCGATCTTTCAGCTCCTGCCTCTGAGGCTCAGCTGCTTGTTCGTTGAAGTCGTCGCTTGCGAGGAGTTCATCTATTGAGTTGATGCTATGAAGATTGTCAACTTGGACCACATCAGACAGAGAGTAGAAATAGCACTCACCTGAAGGAAGTCTCATCGCTAAGGTTCCCTCCTCCATCTTCATCATCTGAGCCGTTTCTGCTTTGTGCTCTTGAAGTGGGACGCGAGTTTGGGCGCGAATTCACAGCAGAGGTCGTTCGTGAGGACTGCCTCGATCGAGCCTTCTTCGAGACGGTTTTGCTGCTCTCGAGAGCTCGTCTGCGTAGATCTTCGTGCATGTTGAGTGCGAGGTGAAAGAAGGAAAAGGTATGATACGGTTGATTGGAGTTATTCTTTGGGAGATGAGGCTGTCAATAGCCTACTAGGTGTACTGGTTAACCTTTTGGAAAAGAAGTATCGTAGATGTGGTGACGCGCAAGATGCTGATGCATGGAGGCGAGAGGAGAGGGTATTAAGAAACTGGGGAGAAAGCTAGGTGAGGAATACGTGGTTAGGCACTGATGTGTTTTCTTGCAAAAAAGGTATGGAATGAAAGCGGTGAAGGGAGAGTAAGTTCGGCTTACTGGCTTGTGTTTATGACATTGATATTTGTGTGCCCCGGTCTTGGCCGAAGGACCGACACTTGCAGGCTTGCAAGGCAGCTGACAGGGTTCTCTCCAGGTTTCTTTCTCGAGGGACCATTTAGGTAAGGTCCTTCTGACCGAAGTCTTAAGGAGTTAAGCAAATGATACAAGGGAGGGGCTATCACGTAATCAAACTGGGTAGTACTCTATAGTTCTGGGGGCCAAGAACATGATAGCAGTTTCCAGCACCATCTTCCAGATTATATGATCCATTCAGCAACAGCTTACGATATGAAAGACAGGGTGTCTACTAGCTGTATAACCTTTACATCCGCGAATTCCCAAACAGCTCTGCTTATGTAGAAGATTTCCGATGATATTGCTGTTCAAGGACCAGTCTGAGCGGTTGCTGTGCTTAGGCCATGTGTGAATTGTCGATCTCTCACTGATAAGCGCCTTCAAAACCTACGAATCTCGTCCGCTGAGCACCGAGTGCTCGTGCGCTCCATAGTAACCCCTATTCCGACAGCAGTAGCTGCTTGCTCGATCGTCGTCTTAGTTTTTATCAGAAACCTTTGCACCTCCTTCACGCAGTGCCAAACTGCGGTAGCAGTTGGATAGCTGGACGTTGCCCCACGAAGATACATTGCTGACATTCACAGGCTCTACTCTCAACAGCTCTCACATGCTTCGGTAATCTCCAGGGGGGTGGTGCTCAAACTTGACCAGTTTGCCGCACCATACGCTCCTTCGCTCTTCACGCAAAATATAGATCTTTCTGCTTCGCCCACATTGACTGTTTTCGTTGTTATTGGTGGCCGATCATATTCCCAGGTGGTGCCCGGTGTCGATCGACTATACGAATCTGGTCGTAAGTCTCGACATGATACTCACCCCCTCTAATCGCTTAGCAAGCAGCTCCTAAGAAACCCCCGCTTATTTGGGAATTAGATATAGAACGATTATAGCAAACTGGCATATATCCCCTGAAGGCTAGTGCTAAGTGTGCTCACATGATTGCTTCAAGTGCAAGGGCAGCATCAGTCGAACGTGACTTTGGTGCCCTGGCCTTCTGTGATCGCCCCCGTCAACTTTTGTATTGAGGCAACGGAATATCCCACACGAAGATGCTGAGGGTGCTTGCTCTTTGATAGCTTCTTCAAGCCCGCTTTTGCCTTTGACGCGTCATCATGGGCTTCTGATCTTCCCTGTTCTTCGTCGGAGGCTCTTTGGTGGGCGGCACTTTCCTCTGTATCTCCCAACCCCTCTGAGCGCGAATCCTTGCCATACCGCTTCTTGTATCGTGTTGCCTTATCTTCCGCAAATTCCATGCGCAGCTTTCGACCTCCCATCTTGTTCACCCATAAACGCTTCTTGACCTTTTTGAAATTGCCAGTTTCCATAGGATTGTTCTCCTTCTCAGCATTCACGGAAGGATCACTGATCTCCACCCATCCTCTCATGGCACCTTCGGCTGAAGATAGCTGCTCAAATTCCACCCAAGCATATCCTTTACATTTGCCAGAGTCCTGAAAGGTTGCCACATGTACATAGTGAATTGGTCCGCAAACCTCGAAATGATGCTCCAGATCTTCTTTGGTAACGTCGAACTCCAGATTTCCCACAAAAATACGCTTAGTTGAGGGTAGATTCGGCTCGGGAGCTTTTGCAGTGAGTTGCGGTCTCCCTTGGAAGTCTTTAGAGTTTTTGATCAAGACTCGGCGTCCTCCAACCAGCTTTTCGCTCAAGTGTAGTGCTTTTTCAACCACATCTGCTGATAGGAAGTCTACATATGCAAAGCCTTTGTTCTGAAATGCAGACCCTGGTTTGGAAGTTCCTTGAGGTAGATTTATTCTGGTAATCTGATCAGGCGCAATTGCATTATCAGTGTCGCTAACGAGGAACTTCTGCAAGTCTTCCTTTGAAACAAAAAAAGGCAGATTGCCTATCCAGATTCCGTAAGGGGATCTGCTCGTAGGTTCCCTGCTTGTCAAAGTCTCGTTCCCTTTACTGGCTTTCTTCCGATCTGTAGGACCAAACTCCTGTTCCTTTGGGTGAGAAACTGCTTTCGCGCGTTTCGCCTTTCGTAGCGCCTTCTTAGACGCGGGCTCCGGTGCATTGATGTCGATCTCAAGTGATTCAAAGCCGTCGCCATCAATCTCGTTCTTTTTCCGCTTCTTCCCGTTAGGTGCTTTATCAGAGACTGCGGCACTAGGATCCGCCATAAGAACTTAATCGTAAATATGACTGGCACAATCCACTCGAAATGTGTGGCACGCGCACAAGTGGAGGAGCTGCAGTGGTAGGTGTGCAGGAGATTTAGTCCTCTTTTCAGGAGAGCGATATGGTAGTACTGTGCATTGCGAAACTCTTGCAAATCCTTGGCGTTGTATCAAGAATTGTTGCCGCGGCGTCGTCAAACAGAAGCAGCTCTGGAGGAGCCATCTATGGACTTATATCATGTAAATAACATATTAAAACGATGCTGAGCTTCTCCTGATTCTAGTAATATAGATGAATAGTTATATGTATCTTAATACTAAAGCTGACTTTTTATATAATAAATTCAACTTTCTCAAAAAGAGCCTTATATCTAAAATCTATACTATTTGAATCAGGAGAAGCTCAGCATTATTTTTATAAAAATTCTATAATATAGATCTTTAATGGAGTCTTAAAGAGCTGTTTCTGTTTAATGACGCTGCGGCGACAACTCCGCACAGCCTTCAAATATTTGCAGAGTTTCGTAATGCACAGTAAAACAAATGTAATCATTACTCACCCTCCGCCTTCACCTCTTCTTCTCTTAGATGCCCCTGTGTTTAGATCCATTTTAAGTCTTGCAACAATATCATACGCTTGTCTTTGTGTGATAAGATGGCAACAGCCAGAAGATAAGCTTCACATAAAGAGCTATCTTACCTATCCTGGCAGCGCCAAACCCCGGAATAGGCTTATAGACGCATTATCATGTAGTGCTTTCTAATTTCTATCAACCGTCATGTTACGGGTTTCGCGCTCCAAGTAGCTACTCGCGCCAGTTTGGTGGGTGTGTTTGCGGCAGCTCTGAAGGTGGAAAAGCTGTGTTCGTTCTTAATAGGTTTTTCGCTTGAGGAAGGTGTGACGCAGTACATATGTGCTGTGGCAGAGAAACTAAGCTTGCACCTACGCTAAAATTGCAGTGCAATGTCTACTCAGTCAGTAACTAGCCCATTTCGAGCATGGCGTGTGTGGCACAGCCCACTAAGCCACGTCTGAGGGACTGAGGCAAGGAAAACAACCATGCACTCCAAGTCTTAGTCTGTTATGCACGCCAAGCATGCCAAGCGCATGCCCTTCACACTGCTGTCATGAACTTCTTAGCAGGAGAAGGCCCTCTGAAAACTATGCCTAAATTACCATCAATGTGTGCTTAGTTTCGGCCTAACAATGATATGATCTAGTTTGCATAGAATTATGCAATTAAACATCTGAAATCTGATAAAATTGTATTATTTCAGATATCATTTTGAGAAAATAACGCTCAAATTATGGCTAAATTATGATTATTTGAGTCTCTTGACCATCCTTAAGATAATAAGACGCTAGCTAAATTACTAAGAACCAAAACTGCGTCATTTTCAAAGCCCTTCTCCCCATAAGTTCTTGAATGTTCAATGTCAGTTACATGCCAAGGATTGATTCTATGAGGAATTCTTGGCATCAAAGGGTGAGACCCACCACCGCAACTTTAACGATGGTCCTCCGTATTTGACTTTCTTATTGGTGGAAAGTGATGCTGGTTCTCCCTCAATCAAAAGATATGGAACAGCACGAGAATGTTCATTACCACAGAATACAAATTTGTTTAATGATAGTGACAGTTTCTTAAAGATGCAAGTCAAGAAGACTAATCTCCTTCTTGCATCAGCATTCCCCCCTGGACATCCAAGGTACTACATCTAAGGGTAAGAATGAGAAACTCCTTCCAAGCTTGATGTATCGTGCTCGGGTTTCGATTCATCATGGTCCCACACGTTCATCCTTATTGACGACTTTCTCACTGGGAGTAGCAACTAACAGAACAACAATGGGTATGGTACTCGCGAAAGACGCTAGCTCGATTTCGTCGCTTCGTAGCTGTTGCTTCCATAGCACTGCACTAGGCTAAGCTGGAGGTTTCATGTAATGAGTTTGTCTACATACAATAGAATGTAGAACTTTTGGAGTAGGATAACTGGGCTTTATACCGCTTGTTCCCGCTATGTCATCTGTTCTAGTGGTCAGCTTTACCCTACCGTGTAAGGCAAATTGCCTGGGTTCGACTCATGGGAAGCCATCATAGCGTCAGGCTTGTAGACCCCAGCTTCTCCCCTTAATGCGCCCATAGTAACTTTGATTGTCTTCACTCAGTCTCGAAAACTTTAGACGGATGATAGCCAGGCTTCGTACGCCTCGTCGCCGTCGCATCATTCCTCGACATCAGCTTAACACCTTCATATGACTAACATTACCAACATACTTGGGATTGGAGGGTGGCCTGGCGTCGCGCACTTCGACAACATCAGTGCCCTGTGGCGCCGCTATGGCACCCACAACCATTCCCAGGCGAGGGTGGTATATAATTTAGTCCGGAAAACATGACGTGGATACAGGCGGCTGACACATTTCCTTGCAGATAAAACAGCCGTGCTTCCGGATTCGCTGGCGCTAAAGTCAGATCTGATGAAAGATCATGAGAAGAGAAAGGCGAGGTATGGTCGGGAATACCCTGTTCTTGTCGAGCGTCTACACCACCTAAATTATTTAGTAAGTGTAATCAAACCCTTTCACCGATATTGTGTCAGGACGTCACTGACTTCATCTGTACCAGAACCTACTTCGCAAAGTCCTTTGATATAACTAGGAATATTATCGTTCTCGCGCTGTAATTGATGTTCAGATTCTGAGTGGGCTCAACGCCTGCATGTTTGTAAGTCTTAACCCATCCCCAAGGAACCCAGGTAGCCTGCCATGTCACTCATGTGCGTTTGGCTCATTGTCTTGATATTCTTCGTCAATGTCTCATGTGCTCCATGGATATGGGTGTATTTGGTTCATATTGGGCCCAGAATGGGATTCATCTACCTCCATTCGTCGATTTCAACACCAAGCACGTTTGTCGGAACATTGGTGCGATCCGGGTGTGGGCGGAAGAGAGGCAGTTCCCCGAAAACGTACCAGATGGTCATATGGAGGAGCCTGGGGAGTGTTGGATGAATTTCCTTGATGCTATTGCATCTGAGCAAGAAAAGCTTGATTTACTGCTTACCTTTCCCTTAGAAGTCGGTCATGGGGAATCAAACGAATTCTACCCCTTCCAAAATCTCGATGCAACCCCGAAATCTTGACGCTATTGCGTATAAAGCCAATACATCTCGATTCAGTGCTAGATATACAAGCACTATTTTTTCAAGTAACGTAACAACTGATATTATGCAATACTAGCTTAAACCTCTCAAATGGCAAACCTGCAGAGGCAAATCACTCGTACTAGTAGTCCAGTAGGGGGATCTGAAGTCTTGGCAACAGCTAGTTAGTAGGTGAACAACCAACATTAAACTGGCACTTTGTAAACGATTAGAACTTCTCCTGCCTTCTAATTATTTCGCATTGGCTGGAGCATGCCAGTCCACTTTATCAATTCCTGAAGACTCAGATTGATCGTCTGCACAAGCTCCGCTCTGCGGCGCCTCTTCCTCGGTTCTTTACCTCCCTCAACCATGAATATCAATCAAGAAGAGTCTTTCCATGAAAAGGCCGACATCAATTCGGAGCCACCGCTTAGAACTTCGTACAAGTCGTACCGGTAAGGTCTTCTTATTAACACAACGTCACGGCTGACAATGCGCAGGAGGAAGTACCGTAAAATCATGGTCAGATTCGAGGACAGAATGCGTGAGAGCAACAACCTGTACAGTAAACATCAACGACTGCTTGATATATCGCGCCGACTAGGCGAACAAAATGAGTAGGTCCACGCTGATTTTGCTGTCCATTTCTTACTAACCTACTGCCAGTCAGTTACTCGAGCTGCTCCACGATCTTAACGCAGCTCCTCAAGTACCACCTTCCCGTCGCTACGATCTTCAACCTCCCGCTACTATACATAAAGAACTAGAGCATGAGGACGAACGGAAGACGACCTTCTCTGATCCCAACATCCCTTCAGCAGCGTTGCATGAAGCTCGCCAAAGCTCAAGAAATGGTAACACGTCAATTAGTGACTCCCGTCAAACGGAGGAGTCAATGCGCCAAAGCAAAGACCCAAAGCCTATGAAATCATACGCGTCGCTTTCGAAGATCCCGTATGCATCGTTTAACAACTCAAAATTCGACAACAACTCCATAGATACACCGCTCAACGGGTTTCCTGCACCCCTGGAAGAAGAACGGTACTTAGAAGGTTTAGATTCCTACCTCAACGGTACCGCTCCAACACCACGGCCCTTTACGGCGGCCGCTACTCGTGGTGGGGAGCGCTTAAGTGAGAAAGACAGAGAAATGGCTTTGAAGAATCCAGTGTCTGTTTACAATTGGCTGCGAAAGCACCAACCACAGGTTTTCTTGCAGGATAACGAAGCTCATTCAGAGAAGCCGAGCACAAGACCAGCAACGTCTCGTGCTTCGAAACGGGCCAGTGCCGTCAAGCAGGAGCCAGATCTCTACGATGAAGATGGTATAGCATTGGATGTAGGGGCAAACTCGAGAGGCAAACGTAAGCGCGACGACGATGGTGGTTATCGGCCAAAGGGTGGAAATGGTCGTCCAGTGAAACGGAAAAAGGACGACGGTTCCGCTTCCGCCAAAAAGAGCAAAAGAGGTTCCATTAGCGGACTGACGTAGCTTTCTTGTACATTCACATAAAAACCAGTTGATGGGAAGGTTCAAGTAGCAGCTTGAAATTCAAACTTCGCTACAAGCATTTCCCGCTTTGTGATAATAGTACAGTTATCTTGGCACAATACCAGCAACGAGGATCCTTTGATTGTAAGGATGTTGAAGGGGCCGCAGGTTTGCCCGAGGTCAGAGTTGGGTCCTACCAACATCACTCTGATTACGAACTTAAAAACCCTAGTAGCAAAATGGAATGTAAGGCTCTTACTTTCAGCATATTATCTTCCAACATACTTGCACGTCCGAGCGTATTTACCTAGCCCGAAGGCTGGACATTTGAGTTCCCCCAAAGGAGCTCGACATGACACTTCTGCACCGAGAGTGTAGCAAGCATGGCTCGCATGGAGGAGCTGGAGATTCATAGCAAGGTGTGCTTGGTCGGTTCTACGAGTCAGAACATCAGCTGAATCGCCGTATAGAGCTATCTCATCCGCTGGGTAGATATTAAACCGGAGCACACAATATCCTGGAGCATTCAACCACACAAGAAGTCGATCAACTTTGGGATTTTCAAGCATCCTGGCCGACAATCAAGCCTAATTCCACATCTGCCGCCCTCGTCCGCGTCGGCACCCCTTTCGCCCAACCCTGACGTCAACTCCCATTCTAGTGTCGTCGACAGGTTGACGGGTATAGGGCTGAAGCAGGTCTCGTGGCTGGGTAAGTGCGAAGCGGACAAAATTACACAAGGGAGTCATGACGTGACAGACAACGAAGGGGGTACCTACGCTTTGGTCTTTGACAACACGTTCTCGAAACAGATCTCTAAAACAGCAACCCTGGTCCTTCTTACGTATGAGACAAAGCATCCACCTCAGTTTGGCGCGCAAATACATCACTCTCAGGTCACTAGCCCAGGTCTTCCACCCAGTCAAGCTCACCGAAATGGCCTTGGATTCCGCTCTGCGCAGCAAGAGCTAAACCGGCAACCTTCCCTTCCAACAGCTGACCAGGCGGTGCCTAGTGCATCCCTACAGCCTCATACAGGAAGCTCAGTATCGTCAGTTGAACCTGCTTCGACGGTGCATACTGGCATTCTACACAAGCGACGGCGTAAGAAGCACCAAGGCCATGCGCGAAGGTTCTTCTCTTTAGATTTTACTTCATCGACTCTATCCTATTACCATGACAGGAATTCATCTGCTCTCAGAGGTGCCATCCCTCTGTCGTTGGCTGCTATTGGCGCAAACGCAAAGACGCGTGAATTGTCGATTGACTCAGGAGCAGAGATCTGGCATCTGAGGGCTAGCAATCAGGCTGATTTTGAGAATTGGAAAAATGCCTTTCAGAAGGCTTCTCGGCTTGCTGCAGAAGCTATTTCACCCAGACCAGATCTCTCTATAAACACAAAAGTTTTGCCCCAATATCCTTCCAGTGTCAAGGATGAGCAAGACTGGATAAGGGCAGAGGCGTTGCTCTCACGCATTGCGGGAACACGAGATGCTGTTCGAAGGCTGTGCATGGAAACAGAGAGCACTATCCACGTCCCCACGCCCTCTGGCCGGGGTTCTAGCCCTTCTAGTCTCGCCGATGCTAATGCAGAAGACTACTTTCGGCAGGATGAGAGACGTCCTTTCTGGAAGCGAAAGCCCGGTGGCACGACGTCCTCACACATCAGCAGATGCCAGCGAAGCGCCTCCGCACAGCTGAGTATACCCGCCCCATCTGGAGAATTTTCTCGTTCTAGTGAGAGATATACAAGCTCCTACGCGACTCCCGCAGAAAGCCCCACCCAGCCTCGTCACCATCATCAGGTAGAGCAGACTATGAACGATCACTGCCGAGCGCTGCTACGGGATCTTGACGCCGCAGTTTCGGAATTCTCTGCTTTGATTACAGAGAGCAAACAGCGCCGTGCACCAGGCCCTAACTCTGCTGCATCCCGGCTGAGCGTGAGGTCTACTGACTCACAAGAATTTTTTGATGCTTCAGAGGGCGCGCAAGCTCCCTTTTACGAGATAGGAGATGCCAGTGACGACGAACTTAGCCGTAGTAGCGACGATAGTGTTGGACACGACTCCGATTGCAGTAGCGATCTCGACGAGTCCAGAGATATCACTGTCACCAAAAGGGGTGTACGCTCGGACAGCATAACGTCCATCTTCCCTCATAAGGCTAAAAATCTTGCTCCTTTACCAATGAGCAAGGTTCGAAGACGATCAAATGTAGCTCCAGCTACCATTATGCCTCCTAGTCTGATAGGTTTTTTAAGAAAGAATGTTGGCAAGGACTTTTCTACAATATCTATGCCAGTGTCTGCCAACGAGCCTACGTCGCTGCTTCAACGCGCCTCAGAGCAGCTGGAGTATTCTTCACTCCTCGACAAAGCTGCCAAAGCAACCGATCCTGTTTGGAGATTGATCTTTGTGACAGCATTTGCAATTTCACTACTTTCTAGCGCTAGGGTCAAAGAGCGTGCTATTCGCAAGCCTTTCAACCCCATGCTGGGAGAGACTTTCGAATTGGTTCGCGAAGACAGGGGGTTTCGTTTCATTGCGGAAAAAGTTTCTCATCGTCCCGTTCAGCTGGCACTCCATGCAGAGGCACAAGATTGGTCTTACGCTCAATCTCCGCTTCCATCACAGAAATTCTGGGGTAAGTCCGCTGAAATCGTGGCCGAAGGCAAGGCTCGTGTGCTTCTACATCCCCACGGCGACTGCTTCAGCTGGTCGCCAGCTACATCTTTTCTGCGGAATATTATCGCAGGGGAGAAATACGTGGAGCCTGTCGGATCTATGCTTGTTGTCAATGAGACTACAGGTTTGAAAGCAATTGTTACATTCAAAGCCAAGGGCATGTTCTCTGGCCGAAGTGAAGATGTATCCTGCGAAGCCTTTGATACTCATGGTGAACCTCTGCCGCTTGGTATGCAGGGCACCTGGGTCCAAAGCCTGTGTCTTACGGAGAATAGGGCACTCCAAGATACAACAATATGGTCTGCTGGGCCTTTGGTCGACAATGCTGCAAACCATTACGGCATGACTAGCTTTGCTGCTACACTCAATGAGATCACTGAGATCGAGAAGGATAAGTTACCGCCAACAGACAGTAGACTTCGTCCTGATCAGAGGGCATTAGAGCAGGGTGATCATGAGAATGCTGAGCATTTCAAAGCACGCCTAGAAGAACAACAGCGACTCCGAAGGAGAGATATGGAGTCTGCTGGGGAGGACTGGAAGCCACGGTGGTTCATAAAGACACAACTTGGTGAAGAGACCATATGGAAGCTCAGGGCTGGCAGAGATGGATACTGGGAGGAGAGGGTGAGGGGCACTTGGACAAAAGTAGTGCCTGTATTGCAACTGTGACCAGTGATTGGGTCCTAGGCTCGGATATACCTCTTGCCCTGGACAGCTGGGTCTCAAGCAATCGATTATGATGACATATTACCATACAGGAGCTCCATTGTAGCAATAGAAGATTGACGATATGTGATATCGAATCAGTGTAACTTAAGTTAGTGTAAGATCCCCTGCCCGGCCAGTAGTAAAGGTTTCTCCGATCTTGGCATGCGCTTTTTGCATTCAGTTGTTTTCAACATAAGCAAAGCTGTCTTCGTACTCTGCGCATTGACTGCTTCTGTCGACAACCATTCGCTGTTTACCAATTCGTGCCATGATTATACTCTACATAATACCGATGAAGATGCATACGTAGCTTTACATATATTCGCTGTCCCAAGGTTCCGGAATGGCCTTGGCATATGGGCTATTTTTGGCTCCCGGAATGCTGATCTAGTCCTGTTGTTTTCCATTGACAACAAACAGCTCCCTGTTGTCTTTCATGATGGTTTTCAATGCATTGAGCTTGTTCGAAGGCTGTAATACTCTCTTTTCGCATCACATTTCTCCGAACCCAATTGTCATACTGTTGACAGCTTGACTTTAGCTTGCATTGCTCCTGGATGCCGTGTTTAGGGGCAGACCATATACAAGTGTTTGGGACCAAATCTTTGGGGTACCTCTTTTGGCCATCCTGCAGCTAATCTTCACTGTTTCCTCACGATTTCGTGATGTCCTGCCAGTGGTAACCCTTATATCGCATGGACTCACTCACATCTAGCCCAACAGAAGTGTAAAGCAGGGGCATGAATGCTTCTCACGACCCACTGTCTGCGTTATTCTCTGATGAGGCGGCACCCAGCACTTGCGGGCCGGACGAGTGCTGAGGGCTGGAGAATGCTGTCGCTGGTTTGAGATCTGTACTTCGCTGTGCTTACCAAGGGGGTCCTAGTCTAGTATAGACATCGCTTGTGGATGGGGTGAGTTTACTTGATTCAGAAAATTTAGTTTGAAGCTCAAGAGATCAAGCTGGACCCAGTTCTCGTACTAATACTAGATGCAGCTTTCTGAGTCCTATATTACCAGCCGTCCGATCCAGCCCGACAATATTTGTTTTTGTATGTTCGAGGAACGGTAATCTAGATGTACTTGCTCGATCTTCGAACACAGCGGGTAGTGATTTATCGCTGCGAACGCCCATACACTTGAACATCCGACCGAACACTCGGCTTACACCAATCACTCTTTCTGGTCAAAAATAGCGAAGGTTTCTGCAGCAACTCTCCTGTGATAATCATATTGTCCAGTATGGACAGTGAGTCGCCAAAAAGCTACGATTCCGACGCTATTCTCGTTGAGAGTGGCATCGAGGCTGTGGTCTCTACATCTTCGATTACCTCGATCTCTAGTGAAAATAGCTCTGACACTATAAGTATTTCGAGCGCCGATCGACTGGACCAAAAACTTCCAGATCAACAATTTTCGATTACACAGACCTCTAATCTATTCGATCGTGGAAGCGGGGAGGTATTGGATCATAAAGCATCACAGGAGAAGGAAAGGCCTCAGGATCTTCATTTCAGGTCAGTATGTCGACTTCTAGATGCCGAAAATTTCGAAGCCACAGATCTCAGGGCAGGAAGCAGTCAAGATGAGTCTTCTCCAGGGTACATATCATGCTCAGAGGGGGCGACTTCCCAGAGTGAAAGTTCTCTCGAAGAGAATGGCGGCGAAGAAAGCTTAATCGATGAAGTGCTATCGGTGCTTGGAGTTGGGGGTCCAACGGCAAGAAAGAGAGCGATACATCCATCCGAGATCGAGTCTAGTACCATACCCAACGACTACTCCCACAGTTCTCCTCTTTCTCAGAAACTGGAATGTGTCTCGATACCGCCTCTGCTAGTACCGAAATCGAAGTACATTGGTTGGAAGCATTCCTTGTCTACCACCGACGAGAGGGCTACACTGAGCAGTATGCTTGAAGCTCAAGCAGGGAATCAAGAACAGCCAGACAGCTTCCATGATATTCTTGTCGAAGACTTTGTGATATATCGACCTGGATATTCAACCCGTTATCCATGGCAAGTTGTTACGTTGGATAACATTATTTCGAATCGCGAGAGCTGTCGGTACCTTCTCAATGGTGTTCTCAAGTATGGCGCAATCGCAGAGTATGTTGAAGCCATGGAGATCGACATAGATACAATCAGCATTGATGGCTTTGAAGACACTGAGGTTCACTCCGTGCAGGACATGGTCTACCTACAAACAGTTGTCTGTGCAAGGAGACGTACCGCATTAGATTGCTGGTATCGTCTTGGTGAGCCTTCAGGCCAATATCGAGACCTCCACAAGCGATTTTTGTGGGTAGCAGATCTCGCCAAGCATGTGATTGACTACGCCAACTGGAAGTATCATTCAGAGGACCGTAACGTCATGGTCCGCTTAAAAGACTTCCAGCAAGACTTCATGACAAGGATTGTGAATTGGCATGCTGGGAGTTTGCAGTTTGAAGAATGGTTGCATGTTTACAAAAAGCCTGACTTCAGGATCCCTCTCAATCGCCATCGCGAGTTCATATACAGCAGAGCGGCCGGCTTAGGAGGTCACTATCCGGACCATGATCTTTGGTCTGACCTAATGGTACGGCCCGCAATGTCCATTAGTGATTATAATGGACTACCTGAGGATACTTTGGTGACAACATACGTTAAACATTGCTGCAGATCCATGCCATGGAGCTATGTTCTTAAAGAGGAAAGAATGAGCGAGTCGGTAGGGCGACAACAGCAGCGTCGTGCAACTGCCATGGGATTCTCCCTTCCTACACTTCATCATCAGTCTTCAGGATTAGATGAGGTCCCAAGAACTGCTGCTTTGCTCGAGGTTGCCGCGAAATCAGGATTAACTTCTGCTATCTCGGCTGACGAGGCTTTAGGCAGATTCGCCATTGTTCGTTGGAAACGATCACAAGGCCGGACCTCCTATCACGAATACTCGTATGTTTACATCCAGAAGGTTATCAAGTCTGAATTAAAGGTCATATTTGTCTACCTACCCTCGGAGACAATTTGCCTTGACGGACATTATCCCCATCAAAACGAATTGTTTCTTTCCGAATGCTGCAACTGCTCTGCTGATTGTGCCCCGATTTTTCTTAGCGACATTATCCGACTTGTCGGAGTCACTATTGGGGATGAGATAATCGGGCTGCAGGATTTCTTCGTCAGACAGAAGTATGTACACAACGAGGATGCAATCTCTCGTCTAGAGAAATCAGATTTTCTATGCCCCTGTCTCCGACCCCCAGATGTAGTCAGCACTGATGAAAAGTATGACAAAGTCGAAAGGGAACCTCTTTCTGGCCTTGGCCTATTCGCGGGGTGTGGCAACTTCGACCTTGGGTTAGAGGCGTTTGGCGCGGTCAAATTTGTGGCTGCTGTGGAGATCAGTGAGACTGCACTCAAAACATACGCTGCAAACCGATCAATGGGTTTTCATGGCCTCATTTTTGACTCTGTCAATCCCACACTACTAAAAATTCTCCAAGGGAGTTTGGACCTTCATGACATAGAACTCATTAGCGCTGGCAGCCCCTGCAAAGGCTGGTCCAGGGCAAACCCCTATCGTGGGGACGATAATGGGATGAGAAACTGCTCACTGGTTGCCTCAACCATCTCTTACATCGAGACCTTCCTGCCGAGCTATGCAGTATTGGAAAATGTGGGTGCTATGGGCTCTGGTGTAGGCAACTCTTGCAACCAGGTTGTTGCCTGTTTAGTTGGCCTTGGCTATCAGGTCCGGAAAATGAAGCTGAATAGTCGAGATTTTGGAAGTTCTCAAGGCAGGGATAGACTCTTCATACTGGCGGCTGCTCCCAATGTACCTCTTCCTAAAGAGCCAAGGCCTTCGCACTCTAAGAAAACCGGCTTTGTGAAGGCTTCCGAAGTGAGTCGAGGTCTACCGCCAATGGATAACGACGACTTGATCTGTATATCACATCCAGATCATATTGCTGGTGCGAAGCAAACTCCGCTGTTTAGAGAGCTCATTCGGCGAATTCCACGATACCCCAAGACTATGAATTTTCTCCAGTCAGTTAAGAAGGGTTATCAGGGAAAAGCGCAACTAGAGTGGTTGTTGTCAAGGAAAGGGCTTCATGACGTCGAAGATCATATGGCTTTTACTCGGCTTGACCCGGACGGTCTTATTCCTACGATCACAACGTCCCCAAGACCGGCTTGTGGATGGGGTGGTGGACGTATCATACACTGGGACGAACATCGCACACTCACCCTACTTGAAGCTCGGAGAGCACAGGGGATTCCTGATGAGGAAGTGATTATTGGAGACCTCCCGAAGCAATGGGCCCAGGTGGGAAATGCAGTGAATCGACAGGTTGCCAGGGCGTTAGGGAAGGTCATTGCGGATTCCTGGTTTTCCAAAAGAGCATCGCCTGGCCTGAAGATCGTCGTTGCCATTCCAGCAAACAAGACGTCCGGCCGGTCACAAAAAGCTAAGAAAGAGACCCGACTGTCTTGTATGGGAGATGATCACGTCAGCGGAGGGCTCAACCTCAAGGACATGGAGCAAGGTGAAGTCCAGTTCGTTCAAGATATATTCAGACATTATGGACGCACCTCAGGCACCAAGCAGGCTAGCATCAACAACAATGCCTCAGATCTGAGTTTCAGCCAGATACAGCGTCGGGAAATATCCACCATTGAACGAAATGCTGCTGGTGACAAAAAGTCTGTTCGCATGTTCGCAGAACGAAGCATTGAAGTCTGCATAAAAGCACCAACGCCGTCGTCAGAAGAGATTGAATACGGAAGTGCGGAACATCCCATTAATTTGGAGGCGGAAGTTTCAATCTCGAAGAGAAGGAGGGAAGATATTTCGGATGATGATGACGAGGAGGAGGATGAAGACGATTTGAAGAACTGGGTGGGCAAGCGGGTCAGGTCGAGAATGAACAATTGAGATCTCGGTCAGCATCTCGAATGACGTTGTGAAAGGAAGAAACCAGAGGACCAGAATACCAGAAGATGGCTGGTTGAGTATCTGGCCAGAGGTCGTTACAGTGAAGTCGAGAAAAGGAGGATCCTGTGGCGTACCGCCCCTTACATAACTTGGAGTCTCCTAGAAACGAATCGATAACCCGTCTCCGGCACCAAAAAAGTCAGAGAATGGGAAAGTGAAAAGTATCAAGCATCACACCGCCAGTGGATTGCTTGCCAGGTCGGCGAAAAGCTACGAAAAAAAGAGAGCGAGCAAGAGCATGTGAATGACCAACTCAGTAGCGACAACCTGACCTCCACACAAACGGCACTGGGACGGAAGAAGACGAAAGGAGAGAATTCCCTGCACCATGTCATGTCATGTACCCCAAACCACCAAAGGAATAATGGATGCATGGTGGAGACGGGACGAATCAGCACCGCACCGCCATCAGCATCAGACGTGAGATCCGGGTGGGGCATTGGGGGCAGAAGCAGAGCAAGGAGCAGTGGCACAGCATACACGTCTCCATGAGCGAGTGAGTTAGTGAGTCAGTGAGTGGGTGCATGCCTGCCTCGCACAGAACACGCCTGTATTTTAGTCCTCCCTCACACCAAAGTACATACAGTCCAGTACAGTACAGCACGCTACCTGACACGGGAACAACACCTCTTCCTCTTCCTCCTCCTCCTCCTCCATCCCAACACATGCCCACCATGAAAAGCCAATCAAATCAAATCAAGTCCGCAATTATGACCCAAGAAAAAAGCCTGTGACATGATTTCAATATATTTCGATTCCTGCCCCTGCCCCTGCCCCTGCCCCTGCCCATACCCTTACCATACCTTACCCTGTCTTTCCTGAAGAAATGGAAATCAACGCCCTGTTATTTGCCCTTCAGAGCGCGTGCGAACGCGGCTTCAGCCCCAACCAACCAACAAACAAGTCCCAGTCTTAGATGTAGCCGAGTAGAGTAGAGTAGAGTAGAGGATCTGGGATACCTTATTGTTTCTACATTGCACATGGTAACAGCGTATGATATCGACATCGACATCGACATCGACACCGACAGTGGGCATCCTGAACCGGGAGATGAATATAGCCCAAAAAGGAAAGAAAAAAGGAAAGAAAAAAAGAAAGAAAAGAGGAAAGAAAAGACAAGAAAAAGAATACGCAACAGGAACCTGGACCTCGTTTCGAAACACACGCCCCTTCCTTCTTTCCTCACGCACAAGTAGCACGAATTCCCACCACCCCATAACAAAACCCCCCCCTCTGCCTACTCCCTTAAAAAAATCTATTCATGTTCATGTCTATCTCAACCCGCTTCCCATGGTTAGCAGCAGCATGGTCAAGTCAGGTCCAAGTCAGGTCCATGTCAGGTCAAGTCAGGTCAAGTCAGGTCAAGTCAGGTCAAATCAGGTCAGGTCAGGTCAGGTCAGGTCAGGTCAGGTCAGGTCAAGGCAAGGCAAGCAAGCATGAAAAAGCCCAATAGTTTAACAGACGATAAACCTCAATTAGACACAATATTTTTAAATAACACTAGACGACGCGATCCGCCGCCTCGCCCTCGGCGATAACCGGCACGGCCAAGCCGCGGTCGGGACTCTGCAGCACCAGCGCTTCATGCCTCCTGGCGCGCAGGAAATCCGAGACGGCGCGGATCAGGATGAACCAGCCGACTATCATGAGCAGGTACGAGACCCAATCGCTGGAGGCGAGGGATGACAGCCCACCTCCGGAAGAAGATGCGCTTGTGCTTGAAGTGGCGGCGGCGGCGGCAGCAGCAGAGGCAGCGATGCTGCTGGGGTCGAAATCGTGGGAATTGGGGTCCGTGGGCGGTGCGTTTCCTCCTCCTCCTCCACCGAATTGACCGTCTCCTCCCCCTCCGGGGCTGGGCGAACTTTTAGATGTTCCTTTCATGTAGAAGCCGTATTGGACGAGGGTCAAGCCGAGGCCGGCTCGGGAGCCGTTCTTGGCTGCGTGCGTGGTGTGTAGGAGGTAGGTTAGCAGGAAGCCGACGAGCTGGAAGGACATGCTGATCATGGCGTTCCAGGCGAAGGAGAAGATGGAACCGACGGGGAGGCCATCGACATAGACTTCGTCCGATCCCGGCACGCCGGAGCCGGGGAGGGTGATGGTCGTTTCCCAGTAGGGTGGGGTTGCGTCGGCGGCGGCGGACTCGTAGGTCTAGGGTTTTATTGTTAGTATTAGTTGAATTGTGGAGATGTCAGATGGGAGAAATTGGTAAGGGAACTCTTTAGGGAGACGTACAGGAGGCTTTTCATCTCCAGAATCACCACGTTCGGGCTTGGCAGCTAGATTGGCGAAGACACCGTCGTTGCCGCCTCGAGGTTGCTGCCGCGAAGGAGGTGCGGTGGGTGTGAAGACTGGCAGCTCTGTTACTCGGCGTTGCATTGGTGATCGTTGATTGGCAGTAGCAGTGGTGGTGGGAGACTTTTGCTCCTGTTGCTGGTCGGCCTCGCGAGCGGCGGGCATCCGGATCAGCGCGCATCAGCCTCTGCCTGTCATCGCCGCCATCTTCGGCGTCGGAGTCTTCGCCATCGTCGAAGGTGTCGGCTAATGTCTGATCTTCGTCACTGTGGAGGGGATCGTCGCGGGAGAGTAGCCGGCGAAAGGTGGGAGATGAGGCTTGGGATCGGAAGGACGGAGGGGGTGAAGACGGGGTCGAGATAGGGGTTCTTTGTGTTATCGGCGTGCCGTGGTTGTTGTCATCGATATCGTCATCGTCGTGAGCATTTACCTAGAGTGAGGAGTCAGCAGGATAGATCTTGAAGCCCTGATAGTGGCAGCCTCCTGAGACGGGATTCGTGACATACAGGTTCGTATCTCTGAGGGCTCATGGTGAGCCCAGTGGCGGAAAGAAACACAGACTCCTAGCAAGTAGACTTGGAAATGGAAAGCCGAAAGATGAAAGATGATACAGAGAGTAGAGTACCGCTGATAACGAAGTAGAGATGGAGTGACTGGGGTGAGGAGGCGATGGAGTGAGATGTGAGGTGTTTCAAAGGGATCATGTCCAGTTCCGTTGATGCGCCATGATGCCTGACGCTTGACGCTGCTCTGCGCCACCGTCTGCCTTGCCGTATCGGGTCAAGCGTGTCTTTTTCCGTATTCAGTACCGAGTACGTTACCGAACAGAGCAACCTGTATGTAAAACGTCACCATGCTGATGCATTGCACAACTATGGCACACCTTCAGTTGACTTGGCTAGCTGCGACTCCCAGTGTTCTTGATACTTCATCACCGATATACCGTTGAGGGAGAACCATATCCACAGATAACCGCCATCTACCTATACCAACAGCTTCCCATCGCCATCTACTCCGTACCGCCAGCAGCAATCAAGCATGGCGACCCAATCCTCCTCGGTATGTCATCCAAGCCCAAGTTACCATCTACCAGTCCATCCAGTATAGCATACTAACCACACATCCCCCCCAGCTCGCCTACAAACACTGGCTGCGCATCCTGCGTCTCTGGCCCGCCGACGCTGTCCGCCCTCAAACCGTTTCCTTCCAGCACATTATGCGCCAAGGCCTGTCCAAGATCCACCCCTCCCCCTCCCCCTCCTCAACCCCATCAGCCTCCTCCGCCGCCTCCTCCTCCATCAAAACGAACGACGCCCTCGTCACCGCCGTCCCACC